GCATCAGGGAACGGGGCGCATGGGGCGCTGACCGGCTGGCCAGGGCTCTCCACAGCAGTCAGCGCTGCAGTCAGGGCTGTGCCTGCAAACCTTCCGGAGGGAGTGTGAGCCTTGAGCTTTCTACCCGGACAAGGTTCAGGTCCAGTGGCCACAAAGGTGTGGTCAGACATTTGAGAACGAGGGACGTGGTTCTGCGAGCTCTTTGGAAGTGAGTGAGTGAACAAAAGCCTCTGACAGGTGAACTCCTTAGGACGCTGGAGAAGCCGGAAGGGCCGCCCGCCCGCACAGAGCTGCAGCCGCCTCTGGGTGCTGCTGCTGAGAGCCGGGCTGGTTCTCCTCAGTTCACGGTGGTCAGAGCTGGAGGGCAGCCCCTCGCCCGGGGCTCCCTGACACTGACCGTGTCTCTAAGAGGGCAGGGCTGGGGCAGGAGAGACTCGGGTCCGGCAGCCGATGGGGCGGCCCCGGTCCAGTGCACAGGTGAGGGGAGAGGGAGCAGATAGGCACTGAGGCCCGAGGAGGAAGCAGAGATGCAGGGACAGCTCCTTCCCCTCGCCCTCCCTCTGCCCTCTGCCCTCGTGGGAGGTGTGTCCCATCAGCACTGGCCGTGCACAGACTGGTGTGTGTGTGTGTGTGTGTGTGTGTGTGTGTGTGCGTGCACACATGCTGAGCACACACAAGCATGCTTACTGATGGGACCCATGGCCAAAAAGCAGGAGACTGCTGGCCTGACAACTGGGCGAGTCAAGAAGTGTTTTCTTGTGTGAAAACTGAATTTCTTTCCAAACTCAGACTGTGAATCTCGCATTCATTCCTGAGAGCTTCTCAGGACCCAGCGGGGCGCCTGCTCCCCACTCCGCAGCCCCCCCTCCTGACACACAGACACCCCGCGGTCCTCCCTGCGGGTCTCAAAGGAGAAGGCCCTCCCACAGCTGCTGCGCCTATTCCAGAAAGGTCAGCCGCGCATTCATTAAACCTTGTGTGAAGCCGCGGGCTCTTCCAGCTGCTCTGGCTTAGAAAGCAGCTTCCTAAGCTCTGAGCAGATAGCCACTGGTCGGTGCGCAGTGTTTACCTTCCAGCTGTCCCACTGGGCCGCTCTGAGGAGCCAGCCTCTTCCCTCTGCGGGGAGCAGCCTCCCAGCCCCTGCTCTCCCGGCCGCTCCAGCCCCAGCCGCCTCCCGCGTGCCCCCGCAGACCAGGGCAGGTGGTCCCGGGCCCTGGCCTTGTGGGTGCACCTGGTATCGGAGCGGCTTTGGGCCCCATCCCTCCCTGAGGCTTCGGATCAGCGGGCGTGGGGGGGCTATTGGTCCTGGCCACGGGACAGGCACGCCCAGCACCTCCCAGCACCCTCCTTCCTGCCCGGCTAAGCAGCCTGCAGACCTGCTTCCCACCAGGCAGCAGCCTTCAGTGCTGGGCGGGAGAAAGCTGGTCGAAATCCAGCCGCTTTCACACCTCTCCCTTCCTGTCCATTTTAGGAAACACCTGTGCCTGGATACGGCACGTGAGCCTCCCCGGCTCGGCTTCTGGCCGCTCCGCCACACCGCTGCCCTCTCCCTCCTTCTCCGCCCTCCGGTGCCCGTGTCTCCTCTGCTCTAGGGCAGCGCCCTCTCCCCTCACGCACTGTCCCAGCTCCTCTGGGAACGGGGAGCCTGGGCCTCAGGGGGCTCCTGCCGAGGGTCCATGTCCATGAACCGGGTCTTCGCTTGGCGGGCGGGCTGCCTGTGGACACCTCCTTTCCTTCCCTCCCCCTTCTCCGCCCAGTGGAGACCTCAGCGAGGAGGGGCTCCCGGGCACACCTCTCCCCTCCCGGGGTCACCGACACCGCCTGGTCTCCTGGAACGGCGGGCCCTTCTGTCATGGGCAGCCCTTCCCTCCATGCCTCGGGCTCCTCAGCCCCAGGCACACAGCCCCTCACAGCCCGGCTGTTCCTGCTCCTGGGACTGTGTGTGTGTGTGTGTGTGTGTGTGTGTGAGAGAGAGAGAGAGAGAGAGAGAGAGAGAGAGAGAGAGAGACCCTTCCCCTGGCTTCTCTGTTTCTGCCATTGCTCCGCTCCCACCCCTGTCCGTGCTCCCCACAGACCTTTCCTGGAGCCCGTCCTGTGAACCAGCTCTTAACTCGCCCGGTTAGAATGGCCCCTCCTACCTGAATTGGACCCAAACTCCGATCCATTCCCTGGTCTCCTGGACAGCCCCACCACTAACTCACCAGAACCGAACCCAGCCTCGTGGTCTGCCGTGTCACTCCCCATTCTCCACCACCAGCTGCTTCTCCCCTCCGACCCCATCGCATCGAGAGGCCCACTCCTCCTTGGACAGCCCGAACGCCCTGCACCGAGCCTGCCCTCCCTCACCCAGGGGCTCCTCTGGGCTGTTGCCTTCCCCTCACTGTCCCCATCGGCGCCGTTTCCTCACACAGAACCCGGCGGCCTTGGTGGGACGTGAGCGCCCTGTCCTGGCCCTGCCACTGGTCCAGGCGCTATTGCCGTTGCCGGGAGCTGTCCGAGGTGCTGAACCCGCGCTGCCTCCACCTGCCCTGCTGCCCTGCAAGGCCCCCCAGCCCAGCGTGCCATGCCCTGCTCTGGGTCTGTGTGCTGCCCCTTCCCCACGGAGGCAGCCCATCCTTTAAGGCCCGGCTTAGCTATTGCCTCAAAGCCTTCTCGGACTCTGACCCTCCCAGGAGTCCGTCTCGCAGCGATTTGTTTGCACATCTGTCTCCACTCTGGGCTGGGCTCCCAGAGGACAGGAGCCCTGTCTGGTTCACTTTTAAAGTTCGTTTAATTCAGCGCTGAGTAGCTGTTCATAAAGAGTAAAATAATACTTATAAGTATTTAAACATACATACGTACGTGTAAGAGGTCAGTTAACAATACAGTGAGCGGGTGTTCGCTGTGAGGACCCAGCTGCCCTGGTAAGAGATGTAACCACTCACACCAGCACACCTGTCGCTGGGCCGGCAGCTGCCCCGAGCAGGGAGTGCGTGCCGTGACCCGATGCCCCAGGGAGTGAGCGTGCCGCCCGTTTTCTCAGTGAGGTCGGTGCCGGGCAAACGCCTGGTGAGGAGGCTTTAACTGATCCCATGTCTGCCCACCCGTGAGCTCACCGCACTGCTCACACGTCTTCGTTTGCTCTGCTTACGGCGTGCCCACTTGGTGCCAGGCGTGGCGCTGGGCCTGGCCTGCGGCAGGGAGCCAGCGTCAGAGCCGGCTCTTCCCGGGGCGTGTGCGCTGGGAGACCAGCGAGATCTCCGTGCATGCCGCCCAGCCCCCAGCCGCACTGCGCTCCGCAGAGCAGGACCCCAGCGCCCCCGGCGGTGCCGAGGCTTTGTGAGTCACTGAGCCTCTTCGTGGCTGTGTCCTCGCCTGTGAAATGGTCAGAATGAAGGAGTGACTGTGAAACAGGTGCTTGGCACACGCGTGCTCCCGGCGAGGCTGCCTGGCATTGCTGCCTCTGTCATCCACAGAGATGGTGTGGCAGGCCGGGTGCGGGCAGAGGTTGGAGAGGAAGCCCAGGGGCCATCCCGGCAGTTCTCTGAGGGAGCGCTCAGTACCATGCTCTGGCTCACCCTCTCTGTCCCTCCCTCACTTCCAGGTGAGGATCATAAAAAATAAAAATAAAAAAAAATCACCTCTCACACAGCAGGCAACATGGATACAGCAGAAACGGCCAGATTTCTCGGAAGAAGGCCCAGGCCTACAGCCGGGGCTGCAGTCCTTCAGTGTCACAAGGGCTCGGAGCCTCTGGTAGCTTTCCACGCTGCTTTCACAGCGCAGCCCAAGCAGCCGCCGCAGACAGGAAACTACGGGTCTGACCACGTGGGATGGTTCTTACCGATGCCTAGAAACTAGTCTACCCATAGGCCCTTCAGTGCCTGGTGTGGGCCTCTCCCCTCCCAAGTGGCTTGTCCTGAGATGCCTACCAGCTGGCTCCTGAGTCTTATTGGCAAGTGATGGCCTTCACAGAGAGGCAGCAAACAGACTCCTGTCAGGCAGGCCCTCCAGGCCGGGCTCTGGGGCACAAGGGCAGGCCAGACCGCTCTGTGGGCAGCAGTGGCCAGGCTGCCCTGGCTCCCGGTGCCAGGCGCCACCCAGGTGATCCAGACTGAAGGAGCATGGGACTCCAGGAGGCCGGAGAAGGCATTGCCTTGGCTGTTTGTGCTCTGCTTCTTTCAAACGGGAAGGACAGTTTGGCAGAAACGAGCCTAAGCTGGGTCAAAGGAGAAGGCATGGAGAAAACTGGGCTCAGCCTGACGCTTGGCTTCTGCCTCATCGCGGCATCGCATTGCTGGCTCTGGGGTAGGGGTGGGGGTAAGGGGGGGAGGGGCAGAAGACTTCCTCTGTGGCTCCTCTGGGCTCTCCCTGAACTCCAGCCTCACCCAGCCTCGCACTAGCAAGCAAGTAGCGCGTCGCACAGCTTGATGGATGTGTCTGGCTCCAGCCTGCTGGGGGACGGCCAGAGGAGGCCCTTCCCCGTCAGGGATGGTGCTAAGCAGGCATTGGGGTGCCCCCGCCTCCAGCCGGCAGGTCAGCCTCTGACGGGGCCGTGTAGAAAGTCACCGACCCGCCAGGGCAGCAGTTGGACCTGAGCTGTTGCTCGGACACAGGCGGGGGGACAAATACCGAGGTCGCCGTCCTGCTCCACAGACTCCAGGTGACGTGTCTGTGGTTCCGTCTGGAGTCGCCCTGGGCGCTTCCTGGGCGGATCGGGGCCTGGTACCCCCAGTGTGGTCTGCAGACCGTACAGGCCTCCCCTTAGCAATGCTTCAGAATGCAGACCCAGCCCACACTTCGCGATGGAGAGCCTGGGATGTGAGGGGTCCGGCGATGGCCTGTGCTGAGGGCTCGAATGGGAGACGCTGGTCCGGGCGGGGGCGCACGGCCCACTGAGCACTCAGCCGGCGGCGGCGGGTCTGCACTGGCAGGACGAGGAGGTGGCGGTGGGCGTGGGCGAGCCCGCAGGCTGCTTCTCTGTGTGTGTCTAACGTAAGCCCCTTTCAATGTCATTTCAGCGTCTCCAGGCGACTGGACCCCAAAGAGCCCCTGGGCAGCCAGCGAGCAGCTTCACCAACCCCGAAGCCGGCTCCCGGGGCTGCTCCCGGCCACGAGGGTGCCCGGGAGACAGGGGCCCAGGGCCCGGCCGGCCAGGAGGCTGGTGGCCCCCGCAGGACGCTGCAGGTGGACGGCAGGACGCAGAGATCAGGGCGGTCCCCCTCCGTGTCGCCAGACAGAGGCAGCACCCCCACGTCCCCTTACTCCGTCCCCCAGATCGCCCCCCTTCCCAGCAGCACACTGTGTCCCATATGCAAGACCTCCGACCTCACGTCGACCTCCAGCCAGCCAAACTTCAACACCTGCACCCAGTGTCGCAGCAAGGTCTGCAACCAGTGTGGGTTCAACCCCAACCCACACCTGACCCAGGTGAGCACTCTGCCCCCTCCCCACCTGTTTCTCCCTCCCTCCCTCCCGGTCACCGGCTCTCTCTCCCTCTCATTTCCTCTGTGTCTTCCTGGGCCCAGGGCTCCTGTGGGATCGCACCTCCCCGAGGCATGGGCGGCCCAGAGCGGAGGCGCGTTCTCACCGGGTCCGAGTTTGACCTGGAAATGGTGTTGCGAGGACCAAACCTCGCGTGGACACCTTTCCCAATGGGACTCACTGAAGAGGCCTAGGCTAGCCTCTCCCTGGCCCGGCCTGAGGGAGAGCACGGTGTGGGAGGCAGGACACTGCCCCCTGTCTGCGGAGCTCCCCCTCTGCACGCTGCTTGTTTATTAGCTGGGGCGGAGCCCCGAGAGGCCCAGGCTGCGGTGGAGCGTCCCCACTGGGTGACAATGCCCATGCTCACCAGAGGCCACTTGCATGAGCTTGGCCTTCCTGCTGCCCCAGAGGCCCTGTGCCCGCAGTCCCCTGGCCCCCACCCCCCGGGGTGTTCAGCCACCCCAGAGGCACCCTGGCTCCCGGCCTCCAGCTGAGCCGGCGCCTCTGCAGGGAGCTGACAGGTCTGTGGCCTCGGTGCGCTGCTCCGGGAGCCATGGCCGTCGGGATGGAGAGTGCTGACGGCAGACACAGCATGGCCGCCTCTGGAACCAGAGCAGCAGGAGCCGTTTGGACCGAGGGGGAGCGGGGAAGCGTGTTCACAGGTCGGGTCTATTTGTGACATGAGGTGCGTGGGTGCGGGACGCGTGGTTTGCGAGGTAAGTGTGAGGCTGCCAGGAAGGAGCTGCTGTGGGGGCGACGCGGCACTTGGAGTCATTCCTGGAGCGTGGGGGCTCCCGAGGAGGCGGAGGCGCACGCGTGATGATGCATCTGGGACGGGAGGCAGCCCGTGCCTGCGGCTGGTTAGGGAGGTGTCTGCCTGAGCCCTGAGGACGGTGGTTGAGGCCCAGCCGCTCACCTGTGCTTCCTCCCGGGAGGAGAGCACCTGGCCTCGCCTCCTCGCACCTCTGGCTCCCTTCCTCGGGTGCTCTGGGGCTGCAGGGCCTGCAGTGCTGCAGTCAGGTGGGCACCCGGCCTCACCACACTGGGCTCCTCCACGCCGGCTCGCGGGCATGCAGCAGGGAGAGCAGCCTCCGAGTGCGCCCGGGGAGCGAGAGTGGGAGGACCCCGGGACAATCGGCCCGTCTGCCTCTGCAGGAGGAAGCCGGGGCTCAGGGCAGACGGCGTTGGAGCAGAGCAGGCTGGTGCGGGCTGGCAGGGCGCGGCCGTGGAGCGCCTGGTCAGGGCTGTGGCGCAGACTCGCTGCCACGGGGTCAGGGCTGCTGTTCGCTGGCCGCCAGCGCAGGAGATGCCGGCTGTTCTCCAGGCTCCCGCCCGCCCCGTGGTCCCTTCCTGCTGGCCCCGCAGAGCCTCCTTCTCACGTTGGCTCCTGCCGAGGAGGAAGGGCCTGGGCACACCCTGCTGAGGGCCCGGAGCCTGATGCTGAGTCTGGCAGGGGCCCCGCCCTCGGGGAGAGCAGTCACACAGTGAGGACCAGGCGGCAGGTGTTGCTGGTAGACTGCCCCTCCACCCCGCCCAGACCCCGTCCCTGGGCACCTCTGATGTGACGCTCTCGGGACCTGTCGCGGGGAGGTGCCTGGCACTGCTGGGGGAGGTGAGCCCCGGCTGGCCTGGCGGCTTGGGTCTGCGGCTGGCCTGGCGGTAACGACGGCAGGACAGGCCACACCACACAGTGACCTGGAGGCCTCGTGGCCTCACTGACCTCTGCACAGGCGACTGTGGGGATGGGCCTGGTCAGTGTGTCAGGGTGAGGCCACTGGCACGGACTGGGAGTGTGATGGGGCCGCAGTGTGAAGGCTCCGTGAGGACCAGTGAGCGGGGGCGGGGGGGGGCACCATAGGCCTGGTCCGCAGACCCAGTGCTGCGGCTCTTCTTTCTCCTGCCCTCTGTCAGGTCCTTCACCCCGCTGGTCCGCAGGGACAGCAGGCAGGCCGGAGCCGGGCACATCAGGCACGGCCGCCCTGGTCTGGAAGCACTGCCTTCCTGCGCGTGGGCCACCTCCCCTAGTCAGCGCCACCTCCCCGGTCAGCTCCATTCACGGCCACAGGTGGCCAGCCCCCACGCTGTGACGCCCTCACAGGACGGTGCCCGCCATGCACACTGCTGGGAGTCCACGCGCCTGGACCCCCGGGGGCGCGTGGATTTGGGGAGGAGCTCAGAGCACCTGCCTCAGGGGAGCAGACAGGTCTGGGAGTGAGAGGGCAGGCCCAGAGCTGGTGGCAGGTCTCATCCCCGGGCCCTGGCCACTTCCCACCCCCTTCGGCTTCTGCTCAGGCTGAGGCCCAGCCAGCCTCTTCCTGCTGGAGGCCATTTCTTCCCGCGCCCTCCCTCGGCGCTCAGGGCCATAGCACACTGCTGGAAACCTGGAGAGACTGTGGCTGCCCCGTGGGTCCAAGCACCCTCACCTCCGGAGAGACCATCCCTGAGGCTGCCCGCTGCGCGGCCAGAGGCGGGCCCTCCATGCCCTGGTGGGTGCAGGGCAGGAAGGCAGAGGTGGGGTACGCAATGGAGGGACTGATATGGGTGGAGAAGGTGGGCGTGGCCTGCGGCAGGCAGAGCCCTGGCCAGCCCTCCTGGAGGCCCCGCCTTCACCCTGCCTCCTACCCTCATCCGCCTCCCCCTCCCCACTCCCCCCTCAGCACAGCAGCACCTCCTGGCCAGGCTCCTCCAGAAGTGAGTCTGCCCTCCCCGCCCTCCAACCTTTCTCTGGTCAAAGCCGCTGACGAGCCCCTTTAGGAAGATGGCGGAGTGAGCATGGCCTTTACGGCCTGTTCCGCCTGCTCCAAAGTCTGGACGCGGCTGAGACCAAGCCAAGGACGTGTCGTCCGCGGTGCTCCCACCACCGCCACCGGCAAGCCCGGGCGGGGCTGCCTGCCCAGATGGACGGGGTGAGAAGGGAGGGAGATGCGCCATGGCCAGGTCCTCCTCCTCTGCCGGCATCCCACTCCTTCCGCCGCCGGGCTGGGCACCAGATGGCCGGGGGCGGTGCTGGGACACAGCCTTCCCGCAGCCTCCAGCCTCCCCCGTTCCACTCCCTCCTGGCCACACTGCCGCCGCCCGGCCGGCCAGGAGGAGCGCGGGCAGGAGTGAGAAGGACACGGGTCCGCCTGGCTGAGGAGAGGCCACCGGCTGCTCCTCCCTCCACCTCCACCTCCAGCCCGAACGGAAGCTGGTCCTTGGGCAGGCCCGAGGGAGGTCTTTCTGCCGCCCCCGCTCGGGGCTGGGCAGTCCGCCTGGCAGTGTGAAAATGGCAGCGAAAGGGAAATGGACAAAGCGGGGCCTAGAGGGAGAGGTGCAGCAGGCCTGAGAGAGAAGCAGAGGCAGGAGCCGGAACTGGCTGCCGACCTGGTGCTGCGGTCGCTGCCATCTGCTCCGCCTCACCCGGGCCCAGGCAGGCCCTGGGTCCCGCAGAGGGTGCCCTCAGCTCCTTCCAGACTCCCCGCCCGCAGCCCTTGGTTCTGGAGAACCGGGAGGGGCGGAAGCTGGCATGCTGCTCAGCCCGGGCCAGCCTGGCCCCGGACCTGCCCTAGCTCTGCCTCTGCTCTGAGGACAGGCTGGTTGGCGGCCGGCCCATCTCCTGCCATGTGCCAGGCCCGGTCCACGGACAGAGACCTGCAGGCGGGTTCTGTCCCGGCGTGGACACCAGCTGAGGCGGGCGGGGGATCTCGGCCTGCCCAGGGGACAGCTCCTCTGAGAACGGAGGCCAAGGCCAGCAAGCTCCTGGCCATTTGTGGGGAGGCAGAGGGGAGTTTGTGGGTTCAGAGAGCCCCCTAGCCAGGGTCTTCCCTGGGAGGCCCTGCGCGCAGGCGTCTGCCTGGCCTGGGCACGGGGAGGTGTGGTCAGGCTCCTCCCTTCCCTCGCCGCCAGCCTCCCGGGAGCTTCTATGAAGGGCGGTGGGGGCCCCTGCTGACAGCCTGGCTGACGGCCGGGGAGGGAAGGCTCTGGGGTGAGTGCGGAAGCCTTAGCACATGCCACCCCTGCGCAGACCCCTGCGGACCCCAATGAGGAGCCTCACCACTCAGACCCCTCTTCCCAGGAAGCCCCGCCCCACGTGGAGAAAGCAAAGGGGGTGTCAGACCGAGCGTCCAGAGAGGGTTCCGATGGGCAGAGGGCGGGGAGTGCAAAGCAAGCTCAGAGCACACTCGGCAGGAAGGACCCGGCGTGTCTGGGTGAGGCAGCTGGGGGGGGCAGGAAAGGAGGGGTGGGCTGGGAGGGCCAGGGAGTGCATGGGGGGCTGCCCCGGGGAAGCATGGGGTGACCCATAAGTATGTGCTCAGGCTTCTCTGTGGGGTTTTGGAGGAAAGAGTGTTACTGGCTGGTGGAGCTGGAGGTCCAAGGGCGGACTAGGCACAGCGAGTGCAGAGGTCGAGTGGAGCCCCTACCGGCGCCTCGGTCCCGGCTCACTTCGGGCTGTCCGTGGCTCCCCGCGGCCCCGTGCTGGCAGGGCGGCTCCTGACCTTCCAGGCAGCATCCTCCGACGAGGGGTGCAAAGAAAAAGACCCTCTTATTGTTCCTTTACCTCGTGACAGGGCTGGCCCCACTGGCCCTGGTGCCAAGGTTACATGCCCATCCCTGCGCCACCATCTAGGCCACTGATTGGTCAACACGAGTCACATGCCCACCTGACTGAGGGCGGGGTTGGTGACAGGAAGAAACTACACGTCTGTCGCGTGAATGGCAGCGCGTGTCTTGTTTGTTCTGGAGGCACAGCCATCCTTCTCTTGGCCAGCCGTCTCCCGGAGGAGCGGGCCAGCCCGCCCCACACTCTGAGCGCCGCTTTGCTCTGGAGTTTTCTCGCCGCCACCGTCTCCTCGCTGGCCTGCTCCTCCCGACGGGCCTGTGTGTGCGGCCGCCCTCTCCCCGTTCTGTTCCGCATCTTCCTGCCGGCCCCCCGGACGCCCACTGCACTGCTGCCCCCACTTCCCCTTGGGTCACGGCCTGGGGGAGGGAGGGGACGGGGACCCGTGGAGGCCGAGGTCCTCGGCGGGAGGAAGTGGTGTGGACTGGGGTGGGATGTGGGGTGCACACAGGGCTGAGGCACAGCCAGTGGGCAGCTGGGGACTGTGGAGCGGGAGGCCTGTGGGCAGTGGCTGGTGGTTGTGGGGTGGGATGGGGCGTGTGTGCCTCCTGCTTTGCTCCCCATGCCTGGCAGCTCCCAGCGGGCAGGGTGGTGCCCTCTTCACTCCCAGCCCTGGCCCTGGGAGCTGGGAGCCCCCGAGCAGGCGGGCGCCCCGGCCTGGCCTCGCTGACACCCGCTCCCTCCGCAGGTGCAGGAGTGGCTCTGTCTGAACTGCCAGATGCAGCGGGCGCTGGGGATGGACATGACCACGGCGCCGCGCTCCAAGAGCCAGCAGCAGCTGCACTCGCCCGCGCTGTCCCCCGCCCACTCCCCCGCCAAACAGCCCCCGGGGAAGCCGGAGCAGGAGCGGCCCCGGGGCCCCGGGGGGCCCCAGCCTGGGCCCCGCCAGGCTGACACAGCCAAGGCCACCACAGTGCCGGGACCTGCCCAGGCAGCTGCCCCTCCCGAGGGGGGGAAGGTGTCTCCTCAGTCCCGTCACCCCACCAAGCCTTCCACAGCCGAGCCCCGGCCCCCTGCGGGAGAGGCCCCGGGCAGAAGTGCCACCGCGGGGCCCCCCGGGCCTGGTGCTGCCGAGCAGGCCCAGGAGGGCCTCACCGGGAAGCTCTTCGGTCTCGGCGCGTCGCTGCTGACCCAGGCCAGTACCCTCATGTCCGTGCAGCCTGAGGCCGACGCCCAGGGCCAGCCTGCCGCCAGCAAGGGGCCACCCAAGATCGTCTTCAGTGATGCCAGCAAGGAGGCTGGCCCGAGACCCCCAGGCTCAGGGCCCGGGCCCGGGCCTGCAGCCGGAGCCAAAGCTGAGCCTGCGGCCAGGCCGGGCCCCACACCAGGGCCTGGAGCCCTGGCAAGAACGGGGGGGACGCCCAGCCCGAAGCACGGCCGAGCAGAACAGCAGGCGGCGCCCAAGGCTGCCGCCAAGCCAAAGGCCACGCCCAAGGACAGGCCCGCCTGCCCCCTGTGCCAAGCCGAGCTCAACGTGGGCGGCCAGGGCCCCGCCAACTACAACACCTGCACCGCCTGCAGGCTCCAGGTGTGCAACCTCTGTGGCTTCAACCCGACGCCCCACCTGGTGGAGGTAAGGAGCCGGGGGCGTGGGGGAATGGGGGAGGGGGGCACAGGAGCCCCGAGAGCCGACACAGCCCGGGGCGCCCTCCACCGCGGTGCCCCGAGGGCTGCGTCTCTTTTCTGTCCCTGCCCCTCCCGTCCCTCCACTCAGAGTCCTGACGGGCACCATGGGCAGGCAGTGTGCCCACTGCCTCTGACTGGCTGTCAGTGCCCTGACGCTGGTCCCAGAGTCAGCCCCGCTCAGGAGGCCCCGACTGCCTGTGCTGCCAGCCCTCATGGCAGGACCCGGTGAATGATGCCAGCCTCTCTGCTCAGGGAGGAAGAGCCTGGGGTCCCACTGCTGGGGTCTGTGCCCCCACAGGGTGGAGGGCTGTGGGGCCCAGGAGAAGGCAGGCTTCTCGCCGTGGGCAGGCCGAGCCCTGGGCCCATCCCTGTCTCAGGCCCTTGGCGTCGGGTGTTGATGTTCGCCTGTCAGAGCCTCAGCCTGTGGTCTGTGTCTCCCCTGGGCGGGTCTGCTCCCTGGGGCCTGTGCCCCTGGCCTGCCCGTGGGCGCTCAGAGTCGCTCTCCTGAGCCGAGGAGGGTTGGAGACTGGGCTGGGGGCTGTCTCTCCGCAGCCCCTGTTCCAGGGAGAGGTGCTGAGCGCTGCAGAGCTGGCGGGAGGGAGCCGGAGCCCCTGGTGGAGCTGGGCCGTGCCAGCCTGGAGCCTGCTCTGAGCCTCCCGCACCCACGTTCCCTGCTCAGACCACCAGGGGCCTGCTCGCTGCCCTGACATACCTGCCTGTGTCCCTTCTGGGGGTCTATGCCAGGGGCCCAAGCCCAGGCCCCTGCTGGGCCGAGCCGCGCAGGGCGACAGGCAGGGAGTGCGGAGTGCGACCCTGCCGGCCGAGGGCGGGGATGTCGCCACGGTCTGTGTGGCACCGTCTGGCTCGCCTGGGCCAGGCCTCCCTGGGGGCCGCCCAGGGTGAATAGGAAGACGCTTGGCCGCCCTGCTGTCCAGCGTCCCTCGTGGGATGCCCCGTGGCCCTCCAGTGCCCACACTGCCCCTTCCCAGGCCTTGGCCCTGGGCTCCCTGGAGGACCCCGGTCTGCTGACCGTGTGGGGAGGGGGCGCGGGGGCACGCAGAGCCAGAGAGGCTCCCGTAGAGAGATTGCCAGGCACTAGCTCGCTGCCAGGTGGGTGGGGCACCCCAACACTGAGCGGCTGTGAACCCCATGGAGCGGAGCTGGCCCAGCCTCGAGGACCCTTTCGTCCCGCCCCCTCAGACCTGGCCTGCATTTCCTCGCTAAGCAGGAAGGATGTGCGCAGAAGGGAGCGGAGCTGGCTCTGTCCCTGAGTAAAACCGGTCCCATAGCGCCTCTGGCAGCCGGGCCAGGCCACGGCAGCGCTGGTTCCGCCAGGCGGCCGTGTGGCACAGGCGGGCTCCGCAGGGCGTCCGGCTCTCGCCTGCTCTCTCACCAGCCGCTTGGCTTTGCCTTCCTGGACCTGAGCTTCTGCCACTCAGTGGCCAGCGTGGCCCTGCGCCCCTCCACATCCCCAGGTCTCATGGCCGCTCCCCTGCTGCCTCCTCTGCCAGCAGCACTTCCCATGCCTCCGTGGGCCTGGCGGCCACGCTGCTCAGCATCCTGGTCCTGGCTCTTCCCACCGTGCCCGTCTGCCTGCCTCCTGCACATGTGGCAGCCAGAGGTGGTCCAGCATCGCCTCCTCCCCCTCCTCCTCCTCTTCCTCTTTCTCCTTCTCCTCTTTCTCCTCTTCCTTCTCCTCCTCCTCCTCCTCCTGCCTGCTAACGCGCTCCCCCAGTGGACTGTGCTGCTCCGGGCGGTGTGGGTGGGCAGCCACGCCCGCTCCTGGGGTCCCCCCTACGGGGACCAGGAACCGTGCCACCATCCACCATTAGAGATGCAGGCCGGCGGCTGGGGTCCCTCAGCGGCCTTCTCTCCCCGGAACCGCTCTGGGCCACACCTCGCCGGCTCTTCCTCCCACTCTCCTAGGCCGGCCTCTCCGCTCCGTCTGCATGGCCACGCCTGGCCCAGCCCCCCTCTCCCCCAGACAATGACCACCACCTTCCTGCAGCTCTGCTGGCTCTGCCTGCCGTGGGCCTGCCAGGGGCTGGTGCCTGGTGTGTCCCCTCTCCCTCCCTGACAGCTGCTTTCTCTGCTGAGGCCCCAGCCAGACGGGGGCTCTCTGATCTCAACTCAGCCAACGGCCACTCGGCATTAGGAGCCGTTTGGTGCGTCCCTGTGACCTTGGCCTGTTCCTGTCAGAGGTCCTGACTCCTCAGCAGGCCCCGCACAGCCTGCCTGGAGGCGCGTCTCCAGCCACGGAGAGGCCTGCGTGGCCCCGGAGCGGCGAGGCTTGGGAGGGTCGCGCTGTCAGTGCAGTGAGGGGGCGGACCCGGGACCCGCTGCCTCTGCCCTCAGGCCTCGTAGACCTGCTTGGGCTCCACCGGGGGCCGGGCAGCGATCTGGGGAGGGGCGGGAGTGCTCCCTCGGGTTTCCGTGGGAACCAGGTGAGAATCCACCCTCGTGCTCCTGCGAGCGAGGCCCAAGCTGTCGCCTGAGCCAGGCGGTTCAAGACGGCAGCGGAGTGTCTACAAGAGGGCCCCTCCGCGGCTGTCTGCTGAGCCCCGCTGTGCGGTGCCAGGTCCGGGGCTCACGGGGGCGCCACGGGGGGGAAGCTCTGGTCCCGGAGCACGGGGTCACAGCCCGGCCCCCAGGCCCGCGAGGCAGATGTCAGGGCCGACGCCGGCGGGGGCTGAGCCAGAAAAGAGGAGCTGTGCTCGCCTGGGGCAGGGAGGGCAGCAGTCACATGGGACAACAGCCGCGCCGGAGCCTGGCCTTACCCCGGGCATCCTTTCTGCTGGGCGCCCATCCTCTGCCCTGGCAGTGCCTGGGGCGTGGGCCAGGCAGCCACGGGGGTCGGTGGGGCTGGTGTCACTGCGCCAGACTGACCCGGCCAGCGCCTCGGAGTCTGCGCCTGCGGGTCACTCGCTGATGGCCTCGTGCTGGGAGGAAGCCGCTTCCCGTGCCGCCAGCCGGGCCCTCGGACACGGCAGCCAGTGCCCCGAAGGCAGCGGGTCCACCTGCCGAGGGCGTGCTCCGGGCCTGGGCCAGCGCACTCCCCTTCCCGAGCGCCCGGCCCCGCCCTCCGTGGACGGTGCGCACACCCACCTCACCTTAGGTTTCCGCCTGCTGCCCAGGAAGGAGCTGGCTGGGGGAGCGAGGCGGAAGTGGTCACCAGCACGCCCAGTGTCCCTTCCCAGGTCCCAGGTGCCCCCGGCCTACTTGCGGAAGGGGGCAGGCAGGGTCCAGCAGGCAGCAGCTCCCGAGGCCGGGGCCGGGGCCGGGGCCGGGGCCGGGGCCGGGGCCAGGGCTGGTGAGGGAGATTGGGGGAGAATGACAAGTGAATGGACAGGGGATGGAGGAGCAGGAGCGGGACGGGGCGGGCAGGTGGAGGGGAGAGATGAGAGCTGCTGAGCCCTAGCCCCCGGGCACAGGGATTCTGCCCACCTGCCTCTCACGGTCCTCAGTGCCCAGAGACTGGCCGGCCATGTCTCCCCTGGCCCCACCCCTCCCAGCTCCTGCCCCGACCCTTGCCCCAACCCCAGAGGCTGGAGAAGCTCCTTCAGCCGCAGTTTGACGTTTATTTTTAGCTCGCAGCTCACATGCTGCCTCCTGCCAGCGCCCTCCCGCCCTCCCTCGCTGCCTGTGTAGCAGAGCAGAGAGGGGCTCCATGGGTGAGCACGGAGGACTAGGCCGGAGCAGTGGCCTGGCTCCCAGCTCTGCGGAGGCCTGTGAGCAGGCCACAGGGCTGCTCTGAGCCCCTGGCACTATGCCCGCCGCCTCCTCTCCCCGGGCCACCTCCCACGGTGCCCGTGCTTCACTGTGGCTTCGGGGCGGGGTCTGCAGGCCAGAGGTAGGGTCAGAGGTGAGCTGTGCCACCAAGGAGAGCAGGGAGGTGACCTCCCTGGAGAAGCCTACCCTGGATGGCCCTCTGCCCTGGATGGCCGTGTGCCCTGCAGTGGCCATGTGCCCTGATGTAGCCGTGTGCCCTGGATGGCCCTGTGCCCTGGATGGCCCTGTGCCCTGTAGTGGCCGTGATGTCTCGGGCTGTGCCCTCAGGGTCCCTCCATAGCTGGCCCTGGGGGGCCTCCGGGCAGGGAAAAGCTGCAGTCTCAGGGAGACGGACCCCAAGCCCGTGTGCAGGCCTCACCCTCCGTGCACACAGGGCCTCGCGCCGCCGGGACCCCAGGCAGAGATGCGTGTAGCTGAGGGCAGCACGCAGGCAGAGTCCCTGGCGTGGCGTTTTCTATGGAGGTGTGAGCAGAGGAGCCTGCTCAGCACCCCGACTCTAAGGAGGGCACCCCCACAGCGCCGGCCCTGCCCAGGAGCCTGCACCCCAGCACAGCCCTGGCTGGGAAAGGGGGTGGGAGGGAGGCGGGGGACCATGCACCCAGGGGTGCCCTGTCTGACGCCCTTGCTGGCCTGCTGAGGCTCTCCACCATGGGGCTCCACAGCGGCCAGCAGGGGCTGTCTGCTCCCTGGGGCCCAGGTCCCCCTCTTGGCCAGACCCTGTGCCGTAGCCTCCCCCCTCTCCCAGTCCCCTGTTTGGGGGGAAGCTCTCTGAGGGGAGATGAAGGGACCTGCTTTTGGTTTCATTTTAATTCTGAACATGTGCTTCCTAAAAGTTACTGATTTCAGAGAGGAAGGGAGGGGCAGACAGAACATCATGATGAGAATCATGGATTAGCTGCCTCCCGCATGTCCCCACAGGGGAGCGAGCCGGCAGCCCGGGCATGTGCCCCGACCAGGAATCCAACTGTGACCTCCTGGTTCATGTGAGACGCTCAGCCCTGAGCCATGCGGGCGGATTATGAGTGCGTCTGAGAATGGGGAGTGCGGACAGCACCCCGGTCAGTCCGCTCTCCTCGAGCTTCCTGCCGAGCTCCAGAAGGCCTCCTCCGTCCCAGCGGCCGTGGGAATGCTCTGAGTGCCTCCGGTCTCCATGACCTCACACCTTCCCTCCTCTCCCCACAGAAATCCGAGTGGCTCTGTCTCAACTGCCAAACGAAGCGACTGCTGGAGGGCAGCCTGGGGGAGCCAGCCCCCGGCCCCCCGGCCGCCTCGCCGCAGCCCCCCGCCGGGGCCCCTCACCGCGCAGCTGGAACAGCCCCTCCGAAGCAGAAAGGGCCCCCAGGCCCGGGCCAGCCCTCAGGCCCCCTGCCCGCCAAGGCCGGCCCCCAAGCAAAGCCCCTTCGGGCCTCCGAGCCCAGCAGGGCCCCGAGCAGCGCCCAGGAGAAGAAGACGGGGGTCCCAGCTAAAGCAGAGCCTGTGCCGAAGCCGCCTCCAGAGGCTGCGCCGCCCCCCGGCACTTCGAAGGCAAAGGCCGGGGCGCGGAGGACCGAGCCCGCCGCCCCTGCCGTCACGGCTGTTCCCGGAGCCCCCACGGGCGGGGGGGCAGAGGTCAGTGCCCCTCAGCCGGCAGGACCCTGACTCAGGTGGACGGGCTGGGCGCCTGGGCTGCAGCGGGGACAGGGCGGCCTCTGAGGCCGGGGGGCTGCAGCCCGTGGGCAGTGCTAGCCTGTGCCTGGCGCCTGCCGGCTGCTTGGCCACCAGTGCAAACAGCGAGTTCCTCTTGGAGAACCTGGGCTGCGTGGGGCTTGCCTGGGAGCCTGGGAGCTATTCAAGGCCAGAGATGGGGGGGGGGCGCTGTGACCTGGGAGGGGGAGGGACCTTCGCTGGGCGCTGGGCGCGGGATTGACGGAGGGCGGGGCTCCAAGGAGCTGTCTGCAGGGAGTCAGCCTTCGCCTCTCGCCCGCTGCAGGAGCCGGCGGGCAAGCCTTACTCCCAGGACCTGTCCCGGAGCCCACAGAGCCTCAGCGACACCGGCTATTCTTCCGACGGCGTCTCCAGCTCCCAGAGCGAGATCACCGGGGTGGTGCAGCAGGAGGGGGAGCAGCTGGACAGCGCAGGGGTGACCGGGCCCCGCCCGCCCAGCCCCTCCCAGCTCCACAAGGCGGGCAGCGTGCGGCCCTCCCTGCAGGCCCAGGGCCCGGCCGCAGGCGGCGAGCGGAGCAAGGCGCCCGGCGGCGCCGCCGAGGAGCAGAAGCGGCGGCCCCACTCCCTGTCCATCATGCCCGAGGCCTTCGACTCGGACGAGGAGCTGGAGGACATCCTGGAGGAAGAGGAGGACTCTCTGGAGTGGGGGCGCCAGCGGGAGCAGCAGGACACGGCCGAGTCCTCGGACGACTTCGGCAGCCAGCTGCGGCACGACTACGTGGAGGACAGCAGCGAGGGCGGCCTGTCCCCGCTGCCCGCCCAGCCCCCCGCCCGGCCGGCCGCCACCGACGAGGAGTTCATGCGGCGGCAGATCCTGGAGATGAGCGCCGAGGAGGACAGCCTGGAGGAGGAGGACGCGGCCACCCCCAGGCGCGGCCCCCGGCCCAGGCCCGAGCCCGGCCCCGAGGCAGCGGCGCTGCCCACGCGGCGCCCGCCCCACCAGGCCTCCACGGGCTACGAGGAGCTGCTCTCGCTCTCCGAGGGGGGCCCCGCCGAGGCCGCCGACGGCACGGGGACCCTGCAGGGCGGGCTCCGCCGCTTCAAGACCATTGAGCTCAACAGCACGGGCAGCTACGGCCACGAGCTGGACCTGGGCCCGGGCGCCGACCCCGGCCTGGACTGCGAGCCCGAGCTGGAGATGGAGAGCCTGACGGGCTCGCCCGAGGACCGCTCCCGCGGGGAGCACTCGTCCACACTGCCCGCCTCCACGCCCAGCTACACCTCGGGCACCTCGCCCACCTCCCTGTCGTCCCTGGAGGAGGACAGCGACAGCAGCCCCAGCCGCAGGCAGCGCCTGGAGGAGGCCAAGCAGCAGCGCAAGGCCCGGCACCGCCCGCACGGGCCCCTGCTGCCCACCATCGAGGACTCGTCGGAGGAGGAGGAGCTGCGGGAAGAGGAGGAGCTGCTGCGGGAGCAGGAGAAGATGCGGGAGGTGGAGCAGCAGCGCATCCGCAGCACCGCCCGCAAGACGCGGCGCGACAAGGAGGAGCTGCGGGCCCAGCGCCGGCGCGAGCGCTCCAAGACGCCGCCCAGCAACCTGTCGCCCATCGAGGACGCCTCCCCCACCGAGGAGCTGCGGCAGGCGGCCGAGATGGAGGAGCTGCACCGCTCCTCCTGCTCCGAGTACTCGCCCTCGCCCTCCCTGGACTCCGAGGCCGAGGCCCTGGACGGCGGCCCCGCCCGGCTCTACAAGTCGGGCAGCGAGTACAGCCTGCCCACCTTCATGTCCCTCTACTCGCCCACCGAGCCGCCCGCGGGCGGCTCCGGCACGCCCAGCGCCGGCCGGCCCCTCAAGAGCGCCGAGGAGGCCTACGAGGAGATGATGCGGAAGGCCGAGCTGCTGCAGCAGCGGCAGCAGGGCCAGGCGGCAGGCGGCCGGGGGCCCCAGGGCGGCCCCGCTCAGCCCGTGGGCCCCCGGGCCCAGGGCTCCTTCGAGTTCCAGGAAGTCCCGGCCCGTGACTACGGCCGGGCGGCCCCGCTGCCCGCGGGGGGCTCGCCCGCCGGCCTGGGCGCGGCCGTGGACGAGGAGACCCCGCCGACCGCCCAGGGCACCGCCCGCGTGCGGCACGCCTCCGCCCGGGACCTGGCCTTCGCCGAGGACAAGAAGAAGGAGAAGCAGTTTCTGAACGCGGAGAGTGCGTACGTGGACCCCATGAAGCAGAACGGCGGCCCGCTCACCCCGGGCACCAGCCCCACCCAGCTCGCCGCCCCCGTGCCCTTCTCCGCCGCCCCCTCCTCGGACGGCAGCGGCGGCCGCGTCATTCCTGACGTCCGAGTCACCCAGCACTTCGCAAAGGAGCCCCAGGACCCCCGCAAGCTGCACGGCGCTCCCGCCTCCCCCAGCGCCGCCTCCAAGGAGGCCAGCACCGCCTTCCCCCAGGGCCCACCTGCGGGCTCCGAGCGCAGCACCTCGCCGTCTGCCACCGCCCACGGCTACGGGCAGGGCCCGGCCACCGCCAACTACGGGTCCCAGACGGAGGAAATGCCCCCGGCGCCCCGCGGGCCTGCCGCCGCCAGAGAGAAGCCCCCACGTCTGAGTGACGGCAAGGGCAGCCCCGCCCCGCCCGCCCAGGGGTACGCCTACTACTCGGGCTCCAGCCCGCCGCTCTCCCCGTCTTCTCCCTCAGAGAGCCCCACCTTCTCCCCCGGCAAGCCGGGCCCCAGGGCCACCGCCGAGTTCTCCACACAGACGCCAAGCCTGACCCCTGCCTCGGACATGCCACGGAGCTCTGGCGCCCCCGCCCCCTCCCCCATGGTGGCGCAGGGCACCCAGACGCCCCACGGGCCCGGCGCGCCCCGCCCGGCGTGGCAGCAGCCCCCGCGGGAGGCCCCCTTCATGGTCATCACGCTGGCCTCCGCGGCCGCCAGCCAGCCCAGGATGGTGCACGCCAGCGCCTCCACCTCCCCGGTGTGCTCCCCCGCCGGCACGCAGCCCCCGCCCCACGGCGCGTCCCCGCCGCCCTCAGAGCCCCCGGGGCCGCCGGGCTTCCCGCGGGCGGCCAGTGCCGGGGCGGACGGGCCGCTGGCGCTGTACGGCTGGGGCGCCCTCCCCGCCGAGAACATCTCCCTGTGCCGCATCTCCTCCGTCCCGGGGACGTCCCGGGTGGAGCCGGGCCCCAGGCCCGCGGGCAGTGCCGTGGTGGACCTCCGCACGGCCGTCAAGCCCACGCCCATCATCCTCACCGACCAGGGCATGGACCTGACCTCTCTCGCCGCGGAAGCGAGGAAGTACGGCCTGGCGCTGGAGCCGGGCCCGGGGCGGCAGTCCACGGCCGTGCAGCCCCTGGTGATCAACCTCAACGCCCAGGAGCAGACGCAGGCCTTCCTCGGCGCGGCCACCACCGTGAGCATCACCGTGGCCTCCTCCGTGCTGCTGGCGCAGCAGAAGCAGCCCGTGGTCTACGGAGACCCCTTCCAGAGCCGCCTGGACTTCGGCCAGGGGGCAGGCAGCCCCGTGTGCCTGGCCCAGGTCCGGCAGGTGGAGCAGGCCGTCCAGACGGCCCCGTACCGAGGCGGGCCCCGGGGAAGGCCCCGGGAGGCCAAGTTTGCCAGGTACAACCTGCCCAACCAGGTGGCGCCTCTGGCCAGGAGAGACGTTTTGATCACTCAGGTGGGCACTGCGCAGAGCGCTGGCCTCAAGCCAGGCCCCGCGCCGGAACTGGGCGCCAGGAAGCCGCACACCGTGCTGGTGCAGATGGCCGAGGGCGCGGCAGGCACTATGACCACGCTGCTCCCCGAGGAGCCGGCGGGCGCCATGGACCTCACGGGGGTGCGGCCCGAGAGCCGGCTGGCGTGCTGCGACGTCGTCTACAAGTTCCCCTTTGGCAGCAGCTGCCCGGGCGCCTTCCAGCCCGCCCCCAGCGCCCTCGAGAAGAGCGGGGCCGACGCCGCCCCCAGGGCCCAGAGCGGCGGCCCCTTCTACACCCCGCGCGAGCCGGAGCCCCCCGAGGAGCAGCGGCCCTACCCGCTGGGGCTCCCGGGCAGGCTGTACTCCTCCATGTCCGACACCAACCTGGCCGAGGCCAGCTTCAACTACCACGCCCACAGGATGGGGCAGCTCTTCCAGGGCCCGGGGCGAGACGCGGCCGTGGACCTCAGCTCGCTGAGGCAGTCCTACAGCCTGGGCTTCGCCGACGGGCGCTACCTGGGGCAGGGCCTGCAGTACGGCTCGGTCACGGACCTGCGCCAGCCCGCGGACGCCCTGCCCCACCCACTGCCCATGCGGCGCTTCAGCTCCGTGTCCAACATCTACTCAGACCACCGCTACGGCGCCCGGGGGGACGGCGTGGGCTTCCAGGAGGCCAGCCTGGCCCAGTACAGCGCCACCACGGCCCGCGAGATCAGCCGCATGTGCGCAGCCCTCGACTCCATGGACCAGTACGGGGGGCGGCGTGGCAGCGGCAGCGGCGGCCCTGACCTCATGCAGTACCAGCCCCAGCCCCAGCCGGGGCTCAGGCCCGGCCCCTTCGGGAACCCCACCTTCCCGGAGGCCCACCCGAACCCTGGGGTCCTGCCCCAGTACAGGCCCGCGGCCCAGGGCGTGGCCGTCCGACAGCTGCTGCCGTCCACGGCCACGGTGCGTGCCGCCGACGGCATGATCTACTCGACTATCAACACCCCGATCGCAGCCACACTGCCCATCACCACCCAGCCCGGCTCGGCGCTGCGGCCCCTGGTGCGTGGGGGCCTGTACCGGCCCTACACATCGGGCGCGGTCACGGCTGTGCCGCTCAGCAGCCTCACACGCGTGCCTGCGACCGCCCCCCGGGTGCCTCTGTACCGATATCCCGCACCAAGCAGGTTCCCCGCCGCGTCCAGCGTGCCGCCTGCCGAGGGCCCCGTCTACCTGGGGAAACCTGCTGCCAAGGCGCCCGGGGCCGGGGGCCCAGCGAGGCCAGAGCCACCAGGAGGGGCCGCCCGGCAAGAGCCTCTGTCCACAGCCACGCCGGCTGCTGCCAAGGAGGCGGCCGCGGCCCCGGCCCCGCTGGCCAGCCAGAAGCCAGCGGCAGAGGCGGCTCCTGCAGGCGGCAGTGCAGGCCCCGGCCGGCCCGGAGGAGAGGAAGCGTCGCAGGAGGAGAGGCAGCGGAAGCAGCAGGAGCAGATGCTGCAGCTGGAGCGAGAGCGTGTGGAGCTGGAGAAGCTGCGGCAGCTGCGGCTGCAGGAGGAGCTGGAGCGGGAGCGCGTGGAGCTGCAGCGGCACCGGGAGGAGGAGCAGCTGCTGGTGCAGCGGGAGCTGCAGGAGCTGCACACCATCAAGCACCACGTGCTGCAGCAGCAGCGGGAGGAGCGCCAGGCCCAGCTCGCCCTGCAGCGGGAGCAGCTGGCGCAGCAGCGCCTGCAGCTGGAGCAGATCCAGCAGCTGCAGCAGCAGCTGCAGCAGCAGCTGGAGGAGCAAAAGCAGAGGCAGAAGCCCCCCTTCCCCGTGGTCTGTGACGGGCCCGGCCGAGGGCCTCCCCCGGCGGCCGCCGAGCTGGCTCAGAACGGCCAGTATTGGCCGCCCCTGACCCACACGGCGTTCATCGCCGTGGCCGGGCCCGAGGGGCCGGCGCAGCCCCGGGAGCCCGTGCCGCACCGCGGCCTGCCCAGCTCCGCCTCGGACATGTCGCTGCAGACCGAGGAGCCGTGGGAGGCCGGCCGTGGCGGCCTCCGGAAGCGGCACTCGATGCCGCGGCTGCGGGACGCCTACGAGGCGGAGCCGGGGCCCGAGCCCGGCCCCGTGCGCAGGATCGCGGACAGCAGCGTGCAGACGGACGACGAGGACGGGGAGGGCCGCTACTTCCTGAGCCGGCGGCGCCGCACCCGGCGGAGCGCGGACTGCAGCGTGCAGACGGACGAGGAGGACAACGCCGAGTGGGAGCAGCCCGTGCGGCGCCGCCGGCCCCGCCTGCCCCGCCACTCGGACTCCGGCTCGGACGGCAAGCACGACGCCGGGGCCCCGTCCTCCGCGGCCGCCCCCGCCAGGGCCACGAGCAGCGTGGGCATCCAGACCATCAGCGACTGCTCCGTGCAGACGGAGCCCGACCAGCCGCCCCGGGTCTCCCCCGCCATCCACATCACGGCGGCCACCGACCCCAAGGTGGAGATCATCAGGCACATCTCGGCGCCGGAGAAGACGGGGCGCGGGGAGAGCCTGGCCTGCCAGACGGAGCCGGACGGGCAGGCCCAGGGCGGGGCCGGGCCGCAGCTCGTGGGGCCCGCCGCCATCAGCCCCTACCTGCCCGGCATCCAGATCGTCGCCCCAGGGCCCCTGGGAAGATTCGAGAAAAAGAAGCCGGACCCCCTGGAGATTGGCTACCAGGCCCACCTGCCCCTGGAGTCCCTGTCACAGCTCGTGAGCCGCCAGCCTCCCAAGTCCCCACAGGTCCTCTACTCGCCGGTCTCGCCCCTGTCCCCACACCGGCTCCTGGATGCGTCCTTCGCTCCCAGCGAGAGGCTGAGCAAGGCGCACGTGAGTCCCCAGAAGCACTTCGCGGCCGACGGCGCGCCCCGCCAGCAGACGCTGCCGCGCCCCATGAAGACCCTGCAGCGGTCTCTGTCTGACCCCAAGCCCCTCAGCCCCACCGCCGAGGAGTCCGCCAAAGAGAGGTTCTCCCTCTACCAGCACCAGGGGGGGCTGGGGAGCCAGGTATGGGCACAGGGGCTGGGCCAGGGTGGGGCCGGGGTCTCTGCCTAGCCTGGGGCCCAGAGAAGGCTCCTGGGGGCTGGAGCGGGAGGGGGGAGACTCGGCTCTGGAGGGAGTGGAGAACAGAACTTTCCGGAGGCTCGTCTGGAGCCTGCCGCTTGGCCAGGACGTCCTAGGCAGACCCACCCCCTGGCCCTGCGCCATCCATGCAGACACCACTAGGAATTCCCTCCTCAGCACCCTCCTCCGGGCCCATTCCCCCTCCAGGCCTCCAGCCCTCCCGCCGGGCCCTTTCCCCTCCAAACCTCCACATGGGTGCTTCCTGAGAAGCTGGTCAGACAGTGACCATCCCTCCTCCCGCCCTGGCCTGGCCTCCACGGCCCCACAGGAAGCCCGAGCTCGTGTGGCATCGAGGGCCACCCAGCGGCTGCAGGCTCAGCACGGCTGCCCCCACTCCTGTCCGCCGGGCTCCCGGAGCACGCTGCCCGGGGGTGGCTCCAGTGGCCAGGGCACTAGGAGAGGTGCCTGCATGCGTGGCTGTGGGGGCGGGGGGGAGAGGCCAAGACCGAGTGCAGGCTGAGGAGGGCGTATCTTGCAGGCCCTGGAGTCTGGGAGGTTTTAGGGGAGACAGGCCTGGCGGGCAGTAGCCTCCTGGCGGAGCGCGGCAGACGCGCTGCAGGAGGAGACTGCGGTGGCCAGGGCAGGGCCGGGAGCTGTGGAGATGGTGAGCGTGGTGTGGAGAGCCTGGGTGTGCAGGCCAGAGGGGTGAGGAGGGTCAGGAGCTGGGCTGGCAGGGAGGCCGTCGGGGAAGTCATGGGCTGGCCACATGGGGCCACGCCACGTTCGCACTCCCGGTGCAGCCGGCGCAGCAGCCGGCACAGCCAGGAAGGCCCTCGGCTCTGAGGTTCTGGGGACACTCGCTCCCTTACAGTGAGAATGAGCGGGATCTCATGCAGCTCCTTCCCAAGCTGAAGTGTGAGGGGCCCGGGGGCAGCCCCATTGCATTTGGGGCCTTGGGTGGTCCACACCTGGGCCTCTGGGAAGGCTGTGAGCCAGAGACCAAAGAAGGGCCCAGGGCAAACCCTCCAGCCACGAGGAGGGCCTGGGGACAGCGTCAGGCCCGCACACCCTCGTCCCCCACATCAGCCCCGAGCGGGGGCCCAGTCAGGGCTGTGGAGGGAGCTGGGGGGAGGCTGCCAGCACAGTCCTGGGGGCAGCTGGGAGGAGGGCGGCAGGCAGCCGACTTGGTGTCATTTAGAGAGGAGGGGGCAGGAGGCAGCCAAGGCCCCAGGGCAGCAGCACTGACACCCGTCAGCCTGTGCTCCTTCCCCCTCTGGGGCACCTCCTCCCGGACCCACTCCCTGTTCCCATGTCCCTCCTCACTGCCCGTCCCCACAGCTGAGAGGGCCATGCCCAGGCCGACCCGCACCCTCCTCTCCGCGGTGCACTCGGGGGGAGGCGCAGGGGGCGCCCATGGGGCATCTGCAGGGCTTCTCAGAGCCACGAGCTCCAATGTTTGGAGCAGGCCAGAGCGGGAGAGCCCAGAGCCCAGGCAGGGACCCCAGGCCTCAGGATGCCCGCTGAATCGGCACCGGCATATGGAACCCAGCCCCGCCCCCTTCCGCCCTGTGCCCGCCCGCCGAGCCACCCACCCTGGGTCTCAGTGCTGCCGCCTTCCCTCTGTCTCAGGTGTCGGCGCTGCCACCCAACGGCCTGGGCCGCAAGGTGAAGCGGACACTGCCCAGCCCCCCTCCCGAGGAGGCCCACCTGCCCCTGGCGGGCCAGGCCCCCCCGCCGCTGTACGCGGCCAGCCTGCTGCAGCGGGGGCTGCCGGCCGCCCCGGCCAAGGCCAGCCTGCTCCGGGAGCTGGACCGGGACCTGCGGCTGGTGGAGCACGAGGCCACCAAGCTGCGCAAGAAGCAGGCGGAGCTGGACGAGGAGGAGAAGGAGATCGACGCCAAGCTCAAGTACCTGGAGCTGGGCATCACTCAGCGCAAGGAGTCTCTGGCCAAAGACCGGGGCGGCCGGGACTACGCGCCCCTGCGCGGCCTCGGCGAGCACCGGGACTACCTGTCGGACAGCGAGCTCCACCAGCTGCGGCTCCAGGGCCAGTACGCAGACTTCCCCGCCCCCGCCGCGGTGCCCACCGCCCCCTCCGGCCCCGCCGCCTTCCAGCAGCCGCGGCCGCCCCCTCCGGCCCCACAGTACTCCGCAGGCAGCGCCGGGCCGGCTCCCAACGGACTCCCAGCCCACCAGGCACCTGCCTACCCTGGCCCCGGCACCTACCCAGCACCTGCCTTTCCTCCCGGCACCGGTTACCCTGCCGAGTCCGGTTTGCAAAGCCAGCAGGCTTTCCGGCCCACAGGCCATTATGCAGCCCAAACCCCCATGCCAACCACACAGAGCACCCTCTTCCCGGTCCCGGCCGACAGCCGGGCCCCCCCTCCGAAGCCACGCCAGACATCGCTAGCCGACCTGGAGCAGAAGCTGCCCACCAACTACGAAGTGGTGGCCAGCCCCGCCGTGGCCATGTCCTCGACGCCGGCGGAAGCCAGCTACAGCGGCCCCAGCCCCGCGATGAGCAGCAGCTACGAGCAGAGCAAGGCCTCCGAACTGCCCAGGGGCAGCGACAGGATCATTGCAGGCTCCGCCCCCACCTACCCCTCCGACTCACACTACGCCAGCCTGGAGCAGAGCGTCCCTCGGAACTACGTGCTGATCGACGACATCAGTGAGCTGACCAAGGACAGCGCCCCCACGGCCCCGGACAGCCAGCGGCTGGAGCCCCAGGGCCCGGGCGGCAGTGGGCGTCCAGGGAAGGAGCCGGGGGAGCCCGGGGCCCTGGAGGGGGCCCCCCTGCCCTGCTGCTACGCCCGGGGCGAGGAGGAGTCCGAGGAAGACTCTTACGACCCCCGTGGGAAGAGCGGCCACCACCGGGGCGTGGAGAGCGACGGCCGAGCCGCCGGCACCCACTACTACGGCGACGGCGACTACCGCCCGGGGGCCCGCGCCGACAAGTACGGGCCGGGCCCCGCGGCGCCCAAGCACCCCGCCAAGAGCCCGGCCCCGGCCGCGCTCCCCTCGAAGCGCAGCAAGCACCGCAAGCAGGGCATGGAGCAGAAGGTCTCCAAGTTCTCGCCCATCGAGGAGGCCCGGGACGCGGAGTCCGACCTGGCCGCCTACCCGGCCCCCGCGGGCGGCGGCCCGGCCTCGCGCGGCAGGCGGTTCCAGGACGAGATCACCTGCGGGCTCCGGAAGAACGTGTACGAGCAGCAGAGGCGCTACGGGGCGCCCAGCCGGGAGGCCCTGGAGGAGGAGGAGCGAGTGTACGGCGGGAGCCGGGCCCGGGGCCCCGCTGCCTACGGCGGCGAGAAGCCGTCCGGCCACGACTTCGGCGGCCGGGGCAAGGGCTACGAGCGGGAGCGGGAGGCCGCGGAGCGGCTCCAGAGGGCCGGCCCCAAGCCCTCCTCCCTGAGCATGGCCCACGGCCGCGCCCGGCCCCCCATGCGGAGCCAGGCCTCCGAGGAGGAGAGCCCCGTCAGCCCCCTGGGCCGGCCCCGCCCCGCGGGGGACGCCCTCCCGCCCGGGGACGCCTGCCCGCCGTTCTGCTCCAGCCACTCCATGCCGGATGTCCAGGAGCACGCCCGGGGCGGCCCCCGGGCCCACGCGTACAAGCGCGAGGAGGGCTACCTCCTGGACGACGCCCACTGCGTGGTCTCCGACAGCGAAGGTAAGGCCGTGGGGCGATCGCTGTGGGCCCGGCACCGGGCTCCCACCCACGGGTCCTGGGCCCCGAGCTGTCCCGTGGGTCCTGGCCTGGCCGTGGGCGGGGGCGGTCTAGAGCGGGTGGCCGTGGTGCCCGCCGGTGTCCTAGCATGGCCTCCGCCAGGCCCCGCGGCCCGCGGTGACGCTGTCCGTGGTCTCGCAGCGTACCACCTGGGCCAGGAGGAGACGGACTGGTTCGACAAGCCCCGGGACGCCCGCTCGGACCGCTTCCGGCACCACGGGGGCCACGCGGCCGCCTCCGCCCAGAAGCGCGGCCCCGCCAGGCACAGCTACCACGAGTACGACGAGCCCCCCGAGGAGGGCCCGTGGCCGCACGACGAGGGCCCCGGCCGCCACGCCGCGGCTAAGGAGCACCGGCACCACGGAGACCACGGGCGCCACTCGGGCCGCCACGCGGGCGAGGAGCCCGGCCGGCGCGCTGCCAAGCCCCACGCGCGCGACCTGGGCCACCACGAGGCCCGGCCCGCCCCTCCGCCCGGCCCGGCCCCGGCCCCGCAGAAGAAGGGCCAGCCCGGGCACCCCAGCGCGGCCGAGTACGCGCAGCAGCCCCGGGCGCCCTCGGCCTACCACCACGCCCCCGACAGCAAGAAGGGCTCCCGGCAGCCCCCCCAGCCAAAGCCGGAGCCCCAGCCGCAGCCGCAGGGTCGGCAGGCACCTCCGGGGCCTCAGCCGTCTCAGCCGCCCGCCTCCAGACAGACACCCTCTGCAGCGCGTGCGCCGCAGCCCACACAGCAACCCCCGCAGGCGCGGCCGCAGCAGCAGCAGCAGCAGCAGCAGCAGCAGCCGGGCCAGCCAGCCGCCCGGGGTCCTGGCCCTGCCGCCAGCCAGCCAGCAGGGCGGCCTCAGCCCGGCCCCGGGGCCACGGCAGGCTCCCAGCCAGCAGGAGCGGTAAGAGGGAGGCCCCGGGCACAGCCCCCAGGCGGCGGCCTGGCCATCCCCTGGGCGCCTGCTGGGCGCAGGCCGCCGCTGGCCTTTGAGCTTGGGTTCTGTGTTGCAGCCGCGGACAGAGCAGACCAGCGGCTCTAAAGCGCCGGCCCAAGTGGCCCAGCAGGCGAGGCCCCCGCAGGCTCAGCCCCCGCCAGCACCGGGACCTGCAGGTGAGCTGCCGCCGGTGCCCTCGGCCTGAGGCAGAGCCCGGCTGACTCTCCCCGAGTCCGGGCTCCCGAGAAGGGCCAGGCCGTGGCCTCCGGCAGAGGACGGCCTGTGAGGATGCGCGGGGTCCACACTGGAGCCCTGGGGCCTAGGCACGCCCAGCAGGGTCAGGGAGGGATGGAGCCCAGAGCAGGACCTGACTTCCTCCTCTCCTTCCTCCCTTCTCTTCCCTTCTCCTCCCTCCTCCTCCTCCTCGGTCCTTCTCGGCCTTTCCCTTCTTTTTCCTTCCTCAGCGTCCTTTTCCCACTTCCTCACACCCTTCCTTCCTGTCCTTCCTGTCACTCCTCTGTCCTCCATCCCTGGGCATGTGTCTACACCTCATGCCTCTCCCTCAGCTCCGGGAACCGGGGGGAGCTTGGGTGTGACAGTGGTTCCCCCCCTCCAGGCACGAAAGCTGGAGCCAGGCCCGGAGGCACCCCGGGGGCTCCTGCTGGCCAGCCAGGCGCCGAGGGGGACAGTGTGTTCTCCAAGATCCTGCCCGGGGGTGCCGCGGAGCAGGCGGGCAAACTGACAGAAGGTGAGCACTGCCCACGCCAGGGGCCGGGGGGGGAGGGGCACTGCCCCAGGCCTGCTGGACGGAGCTGGGGGGGGGGGCCTGCCAGGCTCTCGGGCTGCGCTGGCTTCCCTGTGCCCTCTGACCCCGCCCAGGAGCGAGCCTGGCTCAGGGTCCTGATGCCTCTCTCCTTCCCACCTCACAGCGGTCTCCGCTTTTGGCAAAAAATTCTCCTCATTCTGGTGACCCTGCCCCGAAGGGTGAGTATGCGTGCTGCACCCGCTCCCTCCCAGAGGGGGTGCTGGGGTCCTGGGGAGGACGGCTCAGCAAGTCCCTGCGCCCCACACGGCTCACCCTGTCTTCAGCACCCCTGCCCGGGCTCTCCCCGCGAGGGAGGAGTGGGGTTGGGTGGGGGCGGGGGTGCGCTCCTCCCAACCTCCGCGCCCCGCAGGCTCTGGACGTGCTGAGGGAGGCGGTGTCGTTGTTGTGGGGAACCTGTGAGGCCGAGCCCGGGCGCAGCTCTGACTCTGCGTATAACAGTGAGTGTGGGCGCCTGGTGGCGGGCGGGCGGGCGGCGGGGGCGGCTCAGGCCGGCGTGACGGAGACACCGAGCTCCAAGTCATACACCGTCACCGTCACCGTCACCGCGGTGGAGGTCACCGGGCGGGTGGGCTCGGTCCCAGCCCGGCTCAGCCCGGAGAGAGGAAGGCCAAGGCGGGCGGCGGGCCTCCCCCGACCTCCTCTGGCGTGGCGCTGCGGACGGTGAGGAGAGGGATGGCGTCCGGACGGTGAGGAGTGCCCGGGCTGAGTGCGGCTCTGCGCTGCCAGCCCCTCCCACAGCCATGGGCCGCCCTCCACCTCCTCCGCCTCTCCCAGGCCGCTGCTGCTCCTGTGTGCAGGCTGGGCGGCAGGGCCAGGAGGGGCTGCCTGCCCTGGAGGGGGGCTAGGGGGATGTGGGAGGGAGGGTCAGCCTTTCGCCTCCACTCGGTTATTCCATAAACGGTTCTCTGCTCCATGCCGGGGACACCGCGGACAGCGGTCCCCGCCCTCAGAAGCTCAGTCCCCGAGTGGGACAGGACGGAAGGTTAGACGGTGAAGTTAGGCCCAAAGGGCAGTTCCTGGAGGAGGCGACCTCTCTGAGCCCGGCCAGGAGCGGGGAACACCGAGAGGAGGCGGGGCGGGTGCAGGGGAGGACCAGCTCTGGTGCCGGAGGCCACAGGGGGGCGGACAGGCAGCCAGCGGGCTGGCAGCCAGTGAAGCCCGGACGCCACCCTCCTCCTGGTAGCCACAGAGCAGCACCGGGGCTGCCTGCCTGCGCCTGGCACGCGGCTCCCGCCCTCTACTTGCCATCTCCCCGCAGCGGCTGCAGCAGGTGGACGGCGGGAGCCGCGCCAAGGGCAGCACGCGCCAGTGGGTTTCCGGCTGCAGCGCCCTCCCTGGGAAGGTCTGCGTCCTGCCACAGCGTGGTGGGCCGCGGAGCCGCTCCCTGCGCAGTCACGGTCTCCGCCTGCACAGCCGTGGCTCACGGTGGGCGAGCAGGAGCGCATGCACCAGCCGAGACCTCCCTTTCTCCGTCTCATGGGTGGAGAGGCCGTTTAAACACCCCAGGTCAAAGGAGCACCCCTCCGCCCACCTGACTGCTTCTCGCGGCCTGCCCTCCCACCCAAAGCTGCCCCGCACCGCCCCAGCCTCCGGGGGGAGCCTGAGGGGGAGGAGGCCTTGGCTGTGGCAGCCAGCCGAGTGGAGAGGGTGGGAAGCATCTGTCCGCGTTCCTGACAAAATCCTCTTTGCTTCCTCCCGACTCCCTCCTCCTCGCCTCCCTTCTTCCTCCTCCCTCCTCCCTCCATCCTCCCTCTTCTCTGCCACCCTCCTCCGTCCTTCCCGCCTCCAAGCATCTACAATCTGGGGCACCTTGGCTCCCAGACTCGCCGGATGGACATGGCGGGCGGCCTCCGTGAGGCAGGATGTTGGCTACAGCGGCCGCCTCCGCTGGACCAGTGGGACCACCTGCTCCCCGGCGCCGCCTGCAGGGCGGAGGAGCCTCTTTGCGGACCTGCACGGCCGCTGGCTCCCATGCGTTATACACAGAGTTGGGCACCCGCCTCTCCACGGACCTGCCTCCCCGCGGCCCCACGTTCTCCCGGCCTGGGCCTGAGGGCACCGGCCCTCCGCACGCAGCCCCCCAGGCCCACCCCGCCCCCCAGCCCTCTGGGGACACACCCTCTGGGGACACACCCTCTGGGTGACCTCGGCGCAGACTTCTGGGCTGTTGGGTGGGAGGACTGCACAGACACTAGGACCTCACACTGTCCCTGCTGGAACCAGCGGCCATAGCACCGGACGCAGCGTGGGCGCTGGCCGAGGCCCTCGCAGCCGCGGTGGCAGTGCCCGCTGGCCGCCATCTCAAAGCCATTCCCAGCCATCGCTCGGGCACCGCCATGTCTCACCGCGGGCTCCTCCCCACGCCTGGGGTTTCTTTTGATTTCAAGAGCAGCCTTAACATTTCAGTTGGTTACGTGTATACCTCATGAACATCTTTGGTTTCTCCTCTCCCTCGCCTCTCCTTCGCTCGCCCCGGCCTCCTCCCTCCACCCGTGACGGACGTGGGTCCCTCGTTGCTCAGCCCCTGCCACTCGGGGATGCCGACTCCGAAGCAATAGCGGGCAGCAGGCCGCCCAGAGCACAAGCCAGGGCGAGGCCTCCAGCGCCGCCCGTTTACTGTGCAATCCAGTCCTTCGTAAGCCATCGCCGGGCGGCTCCAGCAGAGGCCGGGCCCTGGCCGGGCGGGCCCAGCGCGCCTGGACTGGGGAGTGTGGCTCTGTCCGCCCCCCAGGCCCTGCCCTTGGGGACTCTGTCTCTTGGGCACAGCACCAGTCTCATCTCTAACGTTCTATGCAATGAAATAGAAGCCCTCAAAGACCACCGACAATATTTGATAAATCCCACGCTGTCTAAGGAGCTCATTGCAAACATGCAATTGAGGAACTGGATACGCACGCTCAGATCAGACCCTCCCCGGCCGCTCCCGCCTGTGCTGTCTGTGGCATGTCTGACCCCGCACAGCCCGGCCTCTGCACGATCTCATCCGTTCCCAGTGCTCGGCCCTCCTCGGAGTCCTTTCTGCCTCAGCCTCTCCTTCGGGAGCGCCCGCTGCCTCTGCACGAGTAGCGGGACCTGCTGGTGCCGCCTGAGCCGCCAGGCTGCGGGCAGGCAGCGCCAGGCCCACGCGCCCTGCGGGCTCTCTGACCAGCTGTCCGCTCCGGGTCCCTCCCTGTGGCAGAGGCACAGAGGGCTGAGCCAGGCGGTGGGCCAGGGGGAAGGGTGTCAGGAGAGCGGGCAGCGGGAAAGGTCATCTCGGACGGAGCAGGTGTGCTCTTCGGCAGCGGCTTCGGCCGGTGTCTGGGAGGCCTCTCTGCCTCCGCCCAGCACCTGCGCCCCTGCCAGCCTCCTCCTGGCCCGGGCCTCGCTGCCCTGCTTCCTCCCGCTCCGCCTGCACATGCATTTCTCAGGGTCCACATCTCCATGCTTCCCATCGGTCCACACGGCCCGTCAGGGGGATGCTGGCCACTGGGGGGACAGGAGGTGTCAGCCTCTGCGTTGGGCCTGGGACCCTGGTCCTCCAGGACTTCGGGCCTCACACACCCCACGAGCCTTGCCTCCTCTGAGACCAGGCCCGGGCTCTGGGGGGCGACCTGAGCAAGGGCTGAGGGGCCCCTCCACCACCTCTGAGCCCGGGCCAGGCTCTCCACCACCAAAGCCAGGCGTGGGCAGGAGCAGGAGGGGGCTGCAGGCGGCTAAAAAATCCAGCAGACTTCCTCGAGTTAGAAAGGTCTGACATCTGCCCCAGCGTACCCACAGGACACACCTGTGCCTTCACTCCCGTGAAGGCGGCTGGAGCAGGCCTCTGGGCACAGGCGTGCGGCCTCGTGTGGATGCTAAGGGACCAGCCCCCGGGCCGTGGGCAGTGGGAGCATCGAGCACATCTCCAACAGGCAGGGTCCCTGGGGCGCCCCAGGCCGCTGCACACCCGGCGCCCAGCGTCAGAAGGGCATTCACTTCACAGCGACACCCGCCCCATCTGCTCATCCTGGGAGAGCGAGGTCTCAGGGCCCTGCTGGGGGCAGCAGTGGCTCCAGGGCCTGTCCCCTGAGCCCGTGGGGGGAGGGGGTCCCCAGGCAGGTCCTCAGGTCCCTGCATGGCAGCCTGGCCCGCCACCCTGTGTCCCCTCCCTCACTTTGTAAATAGGTGTCACCGTGGACCGACAGGTCAGAGTGACAGGCCTGGTCAATGAACCTCCTCAGAGACGTCACCCTCTCCCTGGCACCCAGCCTGCCCCGGGCATGGGTGGCCCTGAGAGCCGTGCAGCGGTGACCGTGCGTGCATGTGACCCGTGTGAGTGGGTGTGTGTCCGCTCCAGCCTCCGACCCAATCGGCCCTGCGTGGGCGCTGCCTGGGCTGGGGCCGCCCAGCCTCCCTGCTGGCTGCCCGGTCTTGTTTTGCTTTCCCTCCCTCCTCCCTCCTCTCTCCCTTCATCCCCCCCTTCTTTCTCTCCTCTTTCTGGGGGGGAGTGCTGTACAAAGTCACACCAACAAGTTTACAGTTTAAGTGCAATGACCGAGTCCTCCACTTGACCTTGTGAAGTGCGTCCTCCGTGCCCTGTGAGAACTCGTGCTCCTCCGTGTCCCTCCCCTGTGCTGTGACGAGGTAACTCTGTGGCATCAGAATAAAAGGACTTGACAAACACAACCTGCACCGTCTCGGGATGGTTTCTGGCGCGGGAAGGCTTAGCTGGAGGAGCGAATCCCCGGCTCGCCACAGCCCCATCCGGGGGCAGCTGTGGGCAGAGTGCGCAGGTGCCAGGCAGGCCAGGGCCAAGGCCAAGGCCAAGGCCACGGCCACGCGGCTGTCCAAGCCACGGCCCCCAGAGGCGCCCGGGGAAGGCCCAAGCTTGGCCCTGGAGGTCGTTGGCGCCTCCTCCGTGGTGTCCAAACTGCTGTCTGGGCTCTGGTCCCAGGGAGACGGCGAGCGGGTGCTGCCCCCTGGTGCCGCCAACAGGTCCTACGCCCGCCTGCCTGGCTGTGTCTGCTCCAAACCCCAAGCGCAGAGGGGCTGCCTGACCTCAGTCCTGCCCAGAGGGACCGCTACCCTTGCTAAAGGAGCCCAGCGTGGCTAGGTAACTTTAAAGACACAAGTCGATAGACAGGCTCAGCCTTGCCTCTGGCCTTCTCCCCGTCCCCAAGTTAGAACCTTAATGCATGTCCATCTTGTATTTTTCTGTTATTTTTCATTTTATCTTATTCTTTTTTTTTTAAAATATATTTTATTGATTTTGTACAGAGAGGAAGGGAGAGAGATAGAGAGTTAGAAACATCAATGAGAGAGAGAGTCATCAATCAGCTGCCTCTTGCACACCCCCTACTGGGGATATGCCCACAACCAAGGTACATGCCCTTGACCGGAATTGAACCCGGGACCCTTCAGTCACCAAGCCGACGCTCTATCCATTGAACCAAACGGGTCCCGGCTATCTTATTCTTTTAAAATATGTATTTATTGATGTCAGAGAGGAATGGGGAGAGACAGAAACATCCATGATGAGAGAGAATCACTGATTGGCTGCCTCCCTCACGCCTCCTACTGGGTTTGAGCCCGAAACCCGGGCCTGTGCCCCCAACTGGAATAGAACCCAGGACCGTCCAGTCCGCAGGCTGATGCTCTGTTCGCGGAGCAAACCGACTGGGGCTCTTCATTTTACACGGCAGTTGGAAGGTCAGCTCCTCCCACTCATTTCTGCAGTTCACCCCGGTTCTTGGGGGCCACCCGGTGCCCAGCACCCGCGAGCTGAGCTGGTGCTTCTAGCGGGTCCACTGCACAGCCCGAAGGCGGCCCGTGTCCCACTTTCCCGGTACCAACACCGCGGAGAGGAACACCCAGGCCAACCCCACCGCCGGGCTGGCGGCCCTTTCCCTCCCGCCCGCCTCCCCGCCTGGGTGGTGTGCTCCCAGCGCAGCGGCCCGGACCACGCCTTCTTCCCGAGGAGCTCATGTGGCTGATGGGGAAGCGGGGGCTCTGGTGGCGCTGGGCCTCCGCACCCCGAACACGGACGGAGGCGGGAGGCAGGCGAGGCCGCCGCTCAGGGTCCCCACCAGGCGCCTGGGGGCGGGGAGGTGGCTGAGGGCTGACGGGGCAGATAGCTCGCGGGGTGGGCCTGGTGGCTGATAACCCGGGCGACACCCCAGAGCTCAGCCGCCCGCCCTTTGCCCCGCACCCCAGCGCCCCGCGAGCCCCGCCCAGGTCAGGCCGGCGCTGTCCGGGAAGGTGCGCCCACATGGCGCCCGGAGGGGCCCGAAGAGCCCAGGGCGGCGGGGCTCCTGGGGGCAGGCGCTGCACCCCTCTCCAGGCCGCGCCCGTCCGATGGCCGCCCCTCCCCGGCCCCCCGCCCTGCCTGGCTTCTCCCCCACAGCCTGGTCCACCCCCGGCCTCCCCGTCTCCCTGGGGCCCTGTCCCCCCAGGCCCCGCCCGCCGGCGACCCCCCTGCGTGGCTCCCACACGCGCCCCTCTCCTGGGACCCCACGCCCGCCTCTGCCCAGGCTGCGCCCCGACAAGCCGCCCCGGTCCTCGGGTCCCGCCCGGGACGCCCCTCGGGTGCCCTGCTCTACGCCCGGCCCCGCCCCTTACCCTCCAGACCACGCCCCTCCCCTCCTACGGCCCGCCCCTCGCCGGAGGTCCCGCCCCAGGGAGGCGGGGCTGCGCGGCTTTCGGGGCGGTCCGGGCTCCGCCCCCGCGCCTCACTTCCGGCGCCGTCCGCCCCGCCCGCCGGCGGCAGTCATGGAGCGGCAGGTGAGGGCTCGGCCGGCGGTCCGCGCGGCCCCTGCGGCGCGGGCCGGGCCTGACCCTCCTGTGTCCCCCGCGCAGGTGCTGCTGAGCGAGCCCGCCGAGGCGGCGGCGCTGTACCGCGCGCTGAGCCGCCAGCCCGCGCTGAGCGCCGCCGGCCTGGGCCCCGAGGTCACCACGCAGTACGGGGGCCGCTACCGGACCGTGCACACCGGTGCGTGAGGGACCGGGCGGCCGCGGGGTGCGGGGCAGGCGCCGGCCGCCCAGTGTGCGGGGGAAGCCGGGTCCGAGGCGCGGGGGGGTGAGGGCGCACCGCGCACCCGGCGTCTGGACGCGCCCGGGGCTGAGCTGAGCGCGTGGCTGCGCCCGGCCTGGCGCCGCGGGGTGGCATGGGTGCTGGCGCCGCGGGGGTGGGTGCTGGGCCTGAGCTGCGGCGCCGGGTGCCCGCCCTGCACCTGCGGGCCTCCGGGCGAGGGCGGAAGGCGGAGCCGCGCGGGCGGCTGAGCACCGGCCTCTGGTCTCTCCGCAGAGTGGACGCAGCGGGACCTGGAGCGCATGGAGAACATCCGCTTCTGCCGCCAGTACCTGGTGTTCCACGACGGCGACTCGGTGGTGTTCGCAGGGCCCGCGGGCAGCAGCGTGGAGACCCGCGGGGAGTAAGTGTGTGGCAGGCCCAGCGGGGCTGAGGCCGGGACCAGGCCTGCCCTGGGGACTCTGCTCCTGATGGGCCCTGATAAGACCGGCGTTTGCCCCAGACGCGGGCCTGGAGCTGAGCCTGTGCCCGCGGTGGGGCCAGGACTGCCAGGGGGCGTGGACCAGGCCTCCAGCATCCTGCCTCAGAGGCTGAGGCCAGTCCGGGCCATGCTGGGCGGGAGGTGACCCTGACCTGCCCACGTCTCCGCAGGCTGCTGAGCAGGGAGTCCCCCTCGGGCGCCATGAAGGCCGTGCTGCGCAAGGCGGGGAGTGCGGGCCCCGGCGAGGAGAAGCAGTTCCTGGAGGTGGGCGCAGGCAGCGGGGCCGGGCCCCCTGATGGGCCTGCAGGGGGGGACAGTGAGGCTCAGCCTGCGAGTCAGGCTCTGCTGGGCGCAGGCTGCCTGACACCCATGTCCCCAGATCTGGGAGAAGAACCGGAAGCTCAAGAGCTTCAACCTGTCGGCGCTGGAGAAACACGGGCTGGTGTACGAGGACGGTGAGGTGCCGGCAGTGCCGGGCGGGTGGGCGGAGGGCGGCCCCCGGGCCCCCCTGACCGGCCCTCTCACCAGACTGCTTCGGCTGCCTGTCCTGGTCGCACTCGGAGACCCACCTGGTGTACGTGGCAGAGAAGAAGCGCCCCAAGACCGAGTCCTTCTTCCAGACCAAAGCCCTGGACGTCAGCGAGGACGAGGGGGCCGGGCCCCCGAAGCAGGACCAGGCCATCAAGGTGCTCCGGGCGGGGCAGGGCCAGGCCGGGGAGGCCCACCGGGCGGCGCTGGGCTCCATGCCCACCCTGCCCACCCCGCACCCCGCAGGCCCGGGAGGCACCGCTCGGGGGCGGGGCTGGCCGGGGAGGCGGCTGGGCGGCCGGGCGCTGAGCTCTCCGTCCGCAGGGGGACCAGTTTGTGTTCTACGAGGACTGGGGGGAGAGCATGGCCTCCAAAAGCACCCCGGTGCTCTGCGTGCTGGACGTGGAGAGCGGCCACATCTCCGTGCTGGAGGGCGTCCCCGAGGGCGTGTCCCCTGGCCAGGTGAGCCCACCCCGCGCTGCTCCTGGTCCGCCCCGGGTCCGCCCCAGCTCCGGGCCGCCCCGCGCTGCCCAGGTCTCACCCAGCTCTGGGCCACCCCGCGCTGCTCCGGGCTGCCCCGCGCTGCTCCGGGTCTCACCCAGCTCCGGGCGCCCCCGCTCCCGCTCCGGGCCGCCCCGCGCTGCTCCGCTCACGCCGCCCGGGTCTCGCCCACAGGCCTTCTGGGCCCCCGGAGACACGGGCCTGGTGTTCGTGGGCTGGCAGCACGAGCCCTTCCGGCTGGGCGTCCGCTTTTGCACCAACCGCAGGTGAGGGGGGCCTGCGGGGCCGGGGAGGGCCCGGCGGGGGGCTGGCAGGGCCTGCGGGGCCAGGGGGGCCCGGGGGGGGGCTGGCAGGGCCTGCGGGGCCGGTGGGGCCCGGCGGGGGGCTGGCAGGGCCTGCGGGGCCGGGGAGGGCCCGGCGGGGGGCTGGCAGGGCCTGCGGGGCCGGTGGGGCCCGGCGGCGGGGGGCTGGTGGGGGCGGGGGCCGGTGGGGCCCTGGGGGCCTGGCGGGGGGCTGGTGGGGGGTTGGGGGGACTGTGGCTCAGGCCGCCTGATGGACGCCCAGTGCCTGCTGGTTTCAGGTCGGCCCTGTACTACGTGGATCTCACCGGGGGCAAGTGTGGTAAGTGCTGGCCCCCTCCCCCAGCTGTCCTGACCCGCCCGGCCCGGCCCCGCCCGCCTGACCCTCCCGCTTCCCTCGGCCCAGAGCTCCTGTCAGACGACTCCCTGGCTGTCTCCTCGCCCCGGCTGAGCCCAGACCAGTGCCGCATCCTGTACCTGCAGTGCCCGTCGCTGGCCCCCCATCACCAGTGCAGCCGCCTGTGCCTGGTGAGCCGGGTGGGCGGGGCCTCCTGTCGGGGGAGGGCGGCGTGAGGCCCGGCCTGGCTGTGGAGGGCGGCGTGAGGCCGGGCCTGGCTGTGGAGGGCGGCGTGAGGCCCGGCCTGGCTGTGGAGGGCGGCGTGAGGCCCGGCCTGGCTGTGGAGGGCGGCGTGAGGCCGGGCCTGGCTGTGGAGGGCGGCGTGAGGCCGGGCCTGGCTGTGGAGGGCGGCGTGAGGCCGGGCCTGGCTGCCAGTGCTGCCGGCCCGGAGGGCTGGGCCGTGGAGGCGGCCGAGAGGCGTGCTCCGCGAGCAGCGCCATCCCTTTGCTCAGGCAGTGGGCTCTGCCCGGGGCCCGTCACACGGCTCTGGCCCCGGAGGGTGCCAGAGGCCCTGGCAGACCTCGGCCCAGCTCGCCAGGAAGGACCACAGGCTCCTCCGGCCTCCCTCCCGTCGCCCCGGAGCGGCTGGCGGAGCTCCGCCCGAGGGCCCGCCCGGCTAACGCCTGCCTTGTCCCGCAGTATGACTGGTACACCAAGGTCACCGCGGTGGTGGTGGACGTGGTGCCTCGGCAGCTGGGAGGTGAGGGCGTGTGGCTGGCGGAGCTGAGTGTCTTCCTCCAGCCGTCTCCTGCGGGCCCAGCCACCGGCAGCCTCCGCGGGGGAGGGCCAGCCCACGGGAAGGGTCCGGGTAGAGGGAGTCAGCTGGCCCAGCACAGGGTCCGAGTGGCCACACTTGGGGTGGGGGTGGGGCGGGGTGGGGGGACGCATGTGCGGCCGCAGCTCCCAGTTAGATTTCTCTGGGTTCCCAGCGGCTGCCTGAAGCCGCTCTCCACCTGGGCTCTCAGGACCTGCACTGAGGCCTCCTTGTCCCTCCCTCAGCCCTGCACGGCCCCTTACAGCCCCCTCCCAGCCCCCTCACAGCCCCTCACAGCCCCTTTCCAGCCCCGCACAGCCCCTTTCCAGCCCCACACAGCCCCTCACAGCCCCTTCCCAGCCCCGCACAGCCCCTTTCCAGCCCCGCACAGCCCCTTTCCAGCCCCGCACAGCCCCTCACAGCCCCTTCCCAGCCCCGCACAGCCCCTTCCCAGCCCCTCACAGCCCCTTTCCAGCCCCGCACAGCCCCTCACAGCCCCCTCCCAGCCCCTCACAGCCCCCTCCCACCCCCTCACAGCCCCTCACAGCCCCCTCCCACCCCCGCACAGCCCCCTCCCACCCCCGCACAGCCCCCTCCCACCCCCTCACAGCCCCGCACAGCCCCTTCCCAGCCCCGAACAGCCCCCTCCCAGCCCCGCACAGCCCCTTCCCAGCCCCGCACAGCCCCGCACGCACACCTGCTCCTGTCTCCGCAGAGAGCTTCTCTGGCATCTACTGCAGCCACCTGCCGCCGGGCTGCTGGTCCGCGGACAGCAGGCGCGTGGTCTTCGACTCCGCCCAGCGCAGCCAGCAGGTGAGGGCCCGGCTGCCGGGCGGCGGCCGGTGAGCAGCCCAGGGCCCCGGGCCTAGGCCCCGCGGGTGCCCCCTGCGCCCCCTGGCTGCAGTGCCGGCAGCCAGCCTCGCCGCCCCTGAGGCCTGCCGGCCCGTCCTGGAGGCTCTGGCCTCTGGGGTTCCCGGTCCGCCCTGGAGCAGCCACAACAGCCTCCCGGGCCTCCATCCTCCCCAGGCATCTCTGGCTTGGGACGGGGCAGGGCCTTCTCCCAGGGCTGGGTGGGCACCACAGTGTGCGGGTCCCTGTTGGGTGTGATGCCATGGGGTCCTCATTCTGGCTAGAGGGGGCTCCAGGCGGCCCTGACATGCCAGGTCCCTCAGGCCGCTGCCTCCTGTCCCGTAGCCGTCACCATAGTTGCTCTCAGCCCTGGCCTGGCTCAGGCGTCCGGGGGGGGGACCACAGGACCCTGGGCTGGGAGGCCACTGGCTGCTTTCTGTTAGGACCTGTTTGCTGTGGACACCCAGGTGGGCACTGTGACCTCCCTGACGGCTGGTGAGTGGGGGCCGAGCGGGCCAGCCAGGCCGGGATGGGCTGGGGCTTGTGCTTGGGCAGCAGTGGCCCTCGGCCTGTGCCTCTGCATCCTGCAGCCTTACCTGCCAGTGCCACAGCCGCCTCCCCCGCGCCCCTGGGCGCCATGTCCTGCCCGGCCCTAGAGCGGCCCCACCTGCCGCTCAGCCTCCATAGCCCCAGGCACAGGCACAGGCCCAGGCCCAGGCCCAGGCCCGGGGCAGCCCTCCCTCCTCAAGCCAGCTGGTGACCTGCCTCGTCCTGCCCGGACTTCACTCACTCCTGGCTGCACCTCGCCGTAGGCCTGCTCAGGAACCTCCTCGGACCCCACTGCCAGGATCTCCCCCCTGCGCCCGGCTGGCTGCACCGCAGGCTGCAGTGGGGTGGGGACGGGCGTGCGCGGGGTCTGCTGGCCCGGGTCTGGCAGCCGGGGCGCAGCAGCAGCCTGAGCAGGAGGCTCCCCAGGCCGTGGCACTGGGGCCTGGGATGTCCCGAGCGGGCACCTTCGCTCCCAGGGCAGGAAGGCACCTCTGCGGCCTCCGGCCAGGGCTGGCTCCGCAGGGAGCGGGGGGAAGGCGGCCCTCGGGTGCTGATGGCCGCTGCCTCCCCAGGGGGGCTGGGAGGGAGCTGGAAGCTGCTCACGATGGACCAGGACCTCATGGTGGTGCAGTTCTCCACGCCCAGCCTGCCCCCGAGCCTGGTGAGTGCGGGGCCCGGCGGAGGGTCCGGGCCGGCAGCTCCGGGTCAGCACGGGCAGGCCCATGGGTCCCGCAGCCGGGGCCGCCCCGCGCACGGGTCCCTGGGGCCGGGCCCAGCCCCTGGCAAACAGAGCAGCAGGGGCGCCGCTGTGCCGCGGGGGCGGGGAGGGGGGCACCCGTGCTGCACCCACTGGAGGGCAGAGGCTCAGAAGGCTGGCCCCCCCCCCCCCAGGCAGAGGCGGATGGGCAGGAAGGCAGCCAGGCCCTGTGACACCCCCTCTCCCCTTGGCAGAAAGTGGGGTTCCTGCCTCCCCCGGGGAAGGAGCGGTCAGTGGTGTGGGTGTCCCTGGAGGAGGCCGAGCCCCTTCCCGACATCTCCTGGGGCGTCCGGGTGCTGCAGCCGCCCCCGGAGCAGGAGAACGCGCAGTACGGTGAGCCCGGCGCGGCCCGCGATTGGGCTCCGGGTCCGGGTGGCCGTGGGCGCCGTGGCCAGGCCTGCCTGGAGGTCAGCCCCGTGCCCTGCTGACTGCGCCTCTCCCGCAGCCGGCCTGGACTTTGAAGCAATCCTTCTGCAGCCCAGCAACCCTCCGGACAAGACCCAAGTGCCCATGGTGGTCATGCCCCACGGTAGGCACCCGGCCTAGAGCCCTACCTGCCCACCACCCCCCTGGCTGGCTCCTCCCCCCCTGTTCCCTGTCCGCCCACCCCCTCCCCCCTCCCCCAGCTGGCTCCTCACCCTCTGCTCCCCGCCCGCAGGGGGCCCCCACTCCTCCTTCGTCACGGCCTGGATGCTGTTCCCAGCCATGCTCTGCCAGATGGGCTTTGCAGTGCTGCTGGGTGAGTGACCATGGCCCGCAGGGCTGGGGGATGGGTGGCTGTTTGTGCAAACACCACAGGTGCCACCCGAGGCCCCAGGCGGCTCTAGCTGGACCTGGTCACCACCACCAGGAACTGCCGGCCGCCCTGGCTCTGGCCAGGTGGCAGGAGATGCCCTGGGACTCAGGGAGGGAGGGCTCCCCCGCGGCAGCCCCTCCCCGCAGCCTGTGCAGTGCCCCGGACGGGCGTGTCCAGGGGGCTGCAGTGTCACTGACCCCTGTCCGGTCCCCTCCTGGCCTCAGTGAACTACCGTGGCTCCACGGGCTTCGGCCAGGACAGCATCCTCTCCCTCCCGGGCAACGTGGGCCGCCAGGACGTGCAGGACGTCCAGGTACAGGCTGGGCTGACCCAGGCGGGGGCGGGGGCGGGGGCGCGGGCTGGGGCGCCCGGCCGCCGGCTGAGTGCGCCCGGCCGGCCGGCCTGTAGTTCGCCGTGGAGCAGGTGCTCCGGGAAGAGCCCTTTGACAAGGACCGAGTGGCCCTGATGGGCGGGTCCCATGGCGGCTTCCTCTCCTGCCACCTGATTGGCCAGTACCCCGAGACCTACAGCGCCTGCGTGGCCCGGAACCCCGTGATCAACATCGCCTCCATGCTGGGCTCCACGGACATCCCCGACTGGTGAGCGAGCGCCTGCTCCCGCAGCCCGGCCCCCACGCCACCCCGGCTCCCGGCTCCCGGCCGTCCGGAGCTGAGTCTGCCCTCCGCAGGTGCCTGGTGGAGGCCGGCTTCTCCTACAGCAGTGACCGCCTGCCAGACCTCGGCATGTGGGCGGAGATGCTGGACAGGTCGCCCCTCAAGTACTCCCCTCAGGTTCGCAGCCCCCCAAACCCGCCCGCCCCGCCGAGTGCTGCCCTCCGCGCAGGGCCGGCCGCTCACCCTCCCGCCCCGCGCCCGCCCCAGGTGAAGACGCCGCTGCTGCTGATGCTGGGCCAGAAGGACCGGCGGGTGCCCTTCAAGCAGGGCATGGAGTACTACCGCGCCCTCAAGGCCCGCAGCGTGCCCGTGCGGTGAGTGCCCCCGCGGTGAGTGCCCGCGCAGACGGTGCGCGGCCCTGGGAGCCGCGGGCGGGGAGGGCCCAGCCTCCAACCCGCCTCCCGCCCGCAGGCTGCTGCTGTACCCGCAGAGCACCCACGCCCTGTCGGAGGTGGAGGTGGAGGCCGACAGCCTCATGAACGCCGTGCTCTGGCTGCGCATGCACTTGGGCAGCTGAAGGCGGCGCTGGCCGGCCGGGGGGCGGCCCTGCTCCCGGGAGAGCCGGGGCTGGCCGGGCAGCGCGACTCTGGGCTCTGGGCTCTGGACTCTGGACGGGTGAGCGAGGGCGCGGGCTGTCTGGCCACAATAAACGAGGAGTCTGGATCCTGTGGTCCTCGGGGGCTCAGAGGCTTCGGCGTGGGGACCTCTACTCCGTGTGAGAGCGGCGGGGCCCTGAGGAGTCACCATTGCCGTCCTGGCCCCCGGGGCGCCCCGGCCGGCTCCCTCCGCTGCAGCCCCCCCTGACGCGGGGGCCTGAGGTCCTGCCCCTCCAGAGCGCCCGCAGGCGGAGGCGGTCGGAGGGCAGCTCGCCCACCCGGGTGCCAGGGCCGAGCCCCCGGGCCGAGCCAGGAGCTGCCGGTTCGTCCCCCGGAAGCAGAGACGAAGCACCGCCCGGCGAGGAGGGAAGGAGGCTTTATGTCCGACGGGAAGCCCGTCCTGCCCAGGCCAGGGGGCCGGGCTGGCCTAGCCCAGCCGCACGACCTTGTGGATCCAGTCCACATACACGGACACGCGCACGAAGACGGCCGGCCAGCCGGGCCGGGCGCACACACGGTTGGGAATGATGATTCCCTCCAGCACCCAGCAGTCGTGGGTGAAGCAGGCGAGCGGGCCCCCGTAGTCGCCCTGGTGGGGGGACCGGGTGAGGGGCGGTGCCGAGGCTCGGTTTCCCCGCCCCCTGCGGGCCCTGCCACCGACCTCGCAGGCGCCCACGGGGGCCAGCAGCCCCTTGGTGCACATCTCGCTCTCCTGCACGCGCCCGCGGTACTTGGCATTGCACTCCTTGTTGGAGATGACGTGCAGCACAGCCACGTTGAGGACCGAGCTGTTCCCTGTGCCTGCAGGAGGGAATGGGGAGGGAGGCTGGGGGAGGCCGGGGCTGAGGGAAGGGGGGGGGAGGCTGGGGGCGGCCGGGGCTGAGGGAATGGGGAGGGAGGCTGGGGGAGGCCCGGGCTGTGCCTGCAGAGGGAATGGGGAGGGAGGCTGGGGGAGGCCGGGGCTGAGGGAATGGGGAGGGAGGCTGGGGGCGGCCGGGGCTGAGGGAATGGGGAGGGAGGCTGGGGGCGGCTGGGGCTGTGCCTGCAGAGGGAATGGGGAGGGAGGCTGGGAGTGGCCGGGGCTGGCCTCTGCCTGGGCGGCCGCCCTCACATATCTCACCTCTAGTCTCGCCCCAGCCTGCGATCTCACACTTGGTCCCTGGGGGCACCACGTACTGCTCGGGGGGCAAGCAGATGAGGGCCACGCGCTTGTTCAGGGTCACCGGTCTTGGGCAGAAACAAGGGCGCTCAGGGCTCAGGGCCGTGGCCGAGGGCCGGCCCACCTCCCTGCCCGGCTCCGCACGCACCTCTCCAACTTGAGCAGCAGCAGCTGGGAGTCTGAGGGCCCACACACCATTTTGGTCACCGGGACCTGCTGCAGGCCTGGCTCCTGGGGCTGCGGGTTCTGGAACATGGTGCCCAGCTGCACCTCGTAGCCCAGCAGGGGCTCGTGGCTGGCGGACAAGCTGCTCAGAAGGGGCTCGCCGCTGCCCGGGGCCACCTGCTGGCCGGCCCGGGAAGGTGCCCGGGGAAGGTGAGGCAGGGGGTGGCCGGGAAGGCTCACCAGGAGGCGAAGCACTGCTGGGAAGTCAGCACCCACTGCTCCTTCACCAGGGAGCCCCCGCAGAAGTGCTGGCCGTGCCTGGAGGAGGCAGCACAGGGAACGGTGAGGCTGCCCACGGGCTGGACCTGCCCCCTCAGCCAGAACCTCTGGAGCCAGGACAGGTGCCCGCCCGCCGGGGCACCAACAGGACGGCCTCGGCCCCCAGACCGGGGGCGGGGGGGGGGGGTTCGGGGAGAAGAGGAGGTTGGGCCGCACCGGTTCCGCAGGCTGACTGTCCAGGGTGAGTTCCCAGGCTGGCCCCCCACCACGCGCAGCCTGGAGGGGTACTGGTCCTCGCGGAGCGCCCTCTTGCCACACTTCTCAAACAGCACCTGGTCTGGGGGCAGGGTGGGCCCGATGTGACTCCTGCTGCGGGCAGGTGGGGGGCACAGGCCGGGCACCCCCACCCATGCCCATTTCGTCTGTACCTGGGGGCTCCAGGATGGACGGCGGTTGGTCCTCATCTGAAAGGGGATCGCCCGTTAGAAAGCCGGCCTTAGGCGGTGGGAATGGGGTCCGGAGGTGGGATGGGGCGGGGTTGGGGGCAGCAGGCAGGTCACCGGCTCGGCTCACCGCAGCGCCGCAGCGCGCAGTAGTCGAAAGGGGTCCGCGGGTCGGTGGTGTGGCACCAGGGCCCGTGGCTGTCCCCGTCCGGGTTCCTGCAGAAGTTCTCCTCCAGGTGCGCGTGGGGGGCGGAGGAGGGAGTGAACCTGGGCGGGAGGGGGCAAGTTCAGAGCAGGACCCGGACTCCCGGCTGGCTCCGTTTGGCTGGGCCGGAGGTGCTGACAACTCACAGCGGCTTGTGCGGCGCGTCGGCGGCCCAGAGCTGGCACGGGACGCCCTTCCGCGTCCTGCGGACCCGGCCGCGGTACCGCTCCCCGGCGCCGTAGTAACAGTCTGCGGGGCAGGGGGCGTCAGCGGTCTCCCGGGCCCGGCCCGCCGCCGCCCGCCGCCGCCGCCCGCCGGGCCTCACCCTCGGGGCGCACGTCGGTGGTGCAGCGCCGGATCTGGTAGCAGAAGGCCTTGCGCATGCCGGGCCGCGTGGTGAAGCACCAGGGCGCCTCCGAGCCGTCGGGGTTCCGGCAGAAGTTCTCCCTGAGGTCCCTGGGGGCGGCCCGCTCAGCGCGCCTGCGGCTGGAGGCGCCCGCACCGCCCCCGCGCCACCAGGCCACACCCGCACCGCCCCGGCCGCGCCCCCCGCACCACCCGGGCTTCCCGGCGACCGTCGCGGCCCGCTCACTTGCACGCGTATTTGTCGGGCGCGAAGCGGTGCTGGTGCGGGCTCTGTGCGTCCCAGCGCTGGCAGGGCACGCCCGCGGCGGTGGTGTTGGCCGTGCCCCGGTAGCCCTCGCCCTTCCCGCGAAAGCAATTCTGCGGCGTAGTTTCTGGACGCGGCTGCGCCTCGGGCCCTTGGTGAACCGAAGCCGGTCGGAACTCGAGCCAGAACTGAGACCAGGCTAGGGCTGAGGCCAGCGCCCGCCCCCTTCCCAGGTGCCCTCCCCTTTCCCAGAGAGGCCCCGCCCCCAGGTGCCCAGTCCTGCCCCTGGCTCCGCCCCCGCTTTCCCAGGTGCCCCGCCCCTTCACCAGCGAGGCCGAGGCCGAGGCCGAGGCCACGGCCACGTTCCCGGGGGCGGGCCTCCTACCGCAGCGCGGGATGTCGCAGAACTCGCGCTCCACCCGCGGGTCGGTGGTGTAGCACCAGGGCCGCTCCGAGCCGTCGGGGTTGCGGCAGTAGTTGTCGTCCAGGTCTTTGTCGGGGAACCTGGGGCCACGGCCGGACGTGAACAGGACCCGGGCCCCGCCCTGCTGCCGGACATGGGGCCGCCCCTGAGTCCCCAGCCCCCACCAGCCGGCCCCGGGGCATCGCGCCCACCGCCCGCGTACTTGCTGGGCTCAAAGCGGTGCGGGTGCGGGCGCTGCAGGTCCCAGCGCTGGCACTCGCGGCCTGACTCGGTGCGGTCCAGGGCGCCGCGGTAATTCTCTCCGTTGCAGGAAACGCACGCGGCTGGAGACAGGGCAGTGGGTTATGGGCGGGGCAGGGCCGCTCCTCGGCCCCAGGCTCGGCCCGGATTGGCCTACCCTCCCGGCAGGACTGGATGCCGCAGCTCTGGAAGCGCACAGCGGGGTCCGTCGTGTAGCACCAGGGGCCTCTGGGGTCCCCGTCGGGGTTGCGGCAGAAATTCTCCTCCAAGCCGTTCTGGGGGGTGGGCATGTACCTGGGCGCAGAGAGCTGTGTGTGGGGGGAGAGGGGTGCCCACCGCGGGGCAGGAAGGAGCGTCTGCTCACTTGTGGTCGTTGGGGTGCCGGTGGCTCCAGCGCTGGCAGGTCAGGCCGCTCCTGGTGACGGCCTTGGTGCCCCGGTACTTGACCCCGTTGTCCGTGATGCAGGTCCGCACGTAGCCTGGGAGGGATAGACACCCACGTCCACGAGCCTGAGGCCCACCCCCGGCCCCGGCCGCCCTGCTCCTCGGCGCTCACCTTTCTTCTGGAAGAGGTCACAGCGCCCCGAGCGCTGCAGCCAGGTGCGGGGCGAGTGCTGAGTCCACGGCAGCAGCTGGCAGCCCTGGCTGCTCATGTTGTGGTGGAAGGCCCTGGGAGGAGGCACGGGGTCACGGGGGCCGGGCCTGCCGCCTCGGTCCTGTCCAGGCCGGGGCCACGCACCTGCAGTCCAGCAGGCGCTCGCAGCGCCGGGCACACTCCTCGGCGTCCGCCACGCCCTCCTGCCAGGGCCCGGGCCCGGCCGCATGCAGCAGGTGCCGCAGCTCCGTGCCCCGCAGCGCCTGGAAGTCGTTCAGCGGCGACCGCTGCCCTGTGGGCGGGGTGCATGTCTGTCACCATAGCGACACGTCCACGCTCAGTTCGTTCAGGGAACCGGAGCTATGGTGGTTCACCCCGGCAGGCGGGCTCAGTGGTTAGAGCGCCCGCCTGCGCACGAAAGGGTTGCGGGTTCAATTCCCGGTCAAAGGCACGTACGTGAGTTTTGGGTTCGCTCCCCACCCCCTGGCCAGGGCTCCTGTTCCTCTCTCTCCCCCTCCTCCCCTCTCTCCCACTCTCTCGGGAAGTGTCCTCTGGTGAGGGTTAACAACAAATGCTCCAGGCTCGGGGCGGACTGTGGACACATTCGAGGCTCAGACCCCAGCTCAGGGTGGGAGAAGCAGGCCCGGACATGGGAGCCATCGCCTGTATCCGTGTTCTGTGGGCAGGGCACCAGGCCTAGATCGCAAACACCACTCCCGAGGAGCACGGGGAGTGATGTCTGCCCGACGGGAGTTGTCTCATCTCTCAGCCGAGGACGGCAGGCCTGGCCAGGCAGGGGCACAACCACATCAGCTCAGCATTCGGACTCCGAGGCTGGCCTCTCACAGCACCAGGGCGTGTGTGGGGGTAGACCCGGCTGGGGAGGGACATCTGTGCCGTCCCAGCACCCCTCGATGCCCAGCAGACAGGCCGTGTGTACCCATATTCGGCGCTCTGTGCCCAGTAGGAGAGTGAGCCCCTGGCTCGAGCAGCAGGATGGGCCTGGGGCTGACCTGGGCCCGAAGGCAGAGGGGAGGGCAGGGGAGGGCAGGCACACTCACCAGGGGCCCGTGGGCACTGCAGCAGCAGGAGCAGGAGTGGCAACCACCCCATCCTCCGGCCTCGGGCTGCACTGTGCCCCACGCAGCCCCATCCGGGAAATTGTGAAACCTGTCCCTCCAGGATTGGGTGGCTCTGGCTCCACACCCCTGCTGCAGGCCTGCGGGGCCTGACCTGAGACCCAGTTTCAGGAACAGGGGTGGGGCCAGGCCCCCTGGGCGAGCGGCGCGGGCCCTCACCCCCACAGCTGGCCCCAGAGGCCGTGCAGTGGCAGGTGTTGGGGACTCTCGGGGTGCCCGGGGAGGGGCGGAGTCACGCGCAGCCCGGGCTGCTCTGAGGGAAGCTGCAGCCCCGCAGTGCTCTGGAACCTTCCTGAGCCCCTGTGCCCTGGAAGGGGGGCGGTTCCCTGCCCACCCACGGTCGCCGCCCCTGGGGCCGGCTTATCGGCCGCAGCTGTGCAGCCGGGCCCACACCCGGACGCCAGCCCGGGGCACTCCCTGCGTCCGGAGAGCGCGAGGCCGCCGCCGCGGAGGGAGGTGGGAGCAGGGCCGGGGCGGCGGGGGCCGCGGGGGCCGGGGTCCTGGGGGCATCCGGGCAGGCCCGGGGCGGCGGCGGCGGGGGCACCGGGCTGGGCTGCGCGCTCCCCGGGGGCAGGGTCCAGGCGGCGGGCGGGGGCGCGGGGCCCGCGGGGAGGCGGGCCGGCGCGGTGCGCCCCCTGGCGGCGGCCGGCGCGGCGGCGCGCGTGCGCGGCGCGGGGTTTGACCCGCGGCGGGCGCCGTAGCGAGGCCGCGGCGGATGTTGTGAGCCGGGCGGGCGGCGCTGGTGAGTGGGGGGCGGCCGCCGGCGGGGAGTCCCGGCGCCGGGGCCCCGGCGGGGCTCGGCGCGGGGCCGGCGGGGCGGGCTGCGGGCGGGCGGCCGGGGGACCCCGATCTGGGGCCGCGCGCAGGATCGGGGGGCCGTGCCTGCCCTCCGCGCCCTTGGCTCCCGGAGGGTCGGTTCCGATCGGAACTCGGATCCCCGGCGGGACCGGCGGGACCGGGCGGCCGGCGCGGCGGGAGCCGGCAGAGCCAGGCCCGCTCCCCGGCCGCACCGGCCCGGCGGCGGCGGCGGCTCGCGGGCCGGTCCCAGCGCCGCACCTGCGCGGCGGGCGGCGGGCGGCGGGCGGCGGAGGCCTGGGGAGATGAGAGCTGCGGGAGCGGGAGCCGCTGCCTCCGGGGGGCGGGGCGGGGCGGCTCCGGCCCGGGCTGCGGGGCAGCCCGGTGTCCTGTGTCCCCGCGGCCGCCGGGCCCCTGAGAGCGGCTAACGTGGCTGCGAAGTTGGCTTCAGCTTTTCCAACTTTGATTCCGTGCGAAGAGCCACGTGTGGCCGGCGGCTCCTGTGGCGGGAGGCTGGGCCGCGGGGGGAGCGGGTCCTGCCCGGGATGGGCTGGGGGGGGAGCGGGACCTGCCCTAGGAAAGGGGTGTGGGCCCAGGAGGGCCTGGCCGGGGCTTGTGGCTGCAGAAGGCACCAGCCCGGCTGTGGCCGCCCGGGGGTGTCCTGTCTCCCAGTGTGACTGGGCCCAGTGTGGCTGGTGGCAGAGGGGTACAGGGGCTGTGCCCAGCCGCCCCACTGTGGACCCTGGGTTCATCTCCTGGGTTGGTTTACAAACACCCATCTGGCCCTGCTCTGTGGGGCCCCCTACTGGCCCCGGACATGCTGGCGACCTGTGGGTGGGCCTGTCACACAGGGTCCTCCACGGCCCCCTCCCTCTGCCTCCTGCTGCCCAGCGTGGGTGCGGGAGGGGGCGGGCACCTGGCCTCTCAGCTCCCAGGCCTTCCTGCCCAGAGCATGGAGGAGGGGGTGGGGGCACTGGCTGGCTTCGTGGTGACAGACAACCTCTGCCTGGCTCAGCCCCAGGACACTGGCCGCCCACGGACATGAAGGATGGCGTCCAAGGGGGCCGACCTGTCTTTCTCCCGCAAGAGCTACGGGCTGACCTCGGACCAGAAACCCAGGGCCACAGGTGCGGCCGGGGCCGGGGGCTCCCTGAGGGAGGGAGGGAGGAGGGAGAGGCAGAGGTGGCCGAGGCCCAGGTCCCTGCGGCAGCTCCTCCTCGGCTGCCCCGGGGCAGGCACAGCGGCCGGCTCCCGCCCCCGTGGCCCAGACCCCCTGGCGCAGAGCGGAGCCGCTCTGACCGTGCCCCTCCCCCGGCCAGGCCTCGCGCAGGAGAAGCTGCTGGAGGACTACCTGCACCGCGTCTTCTCCCCGGACCTCGCCGACACCACCGGCAGGTACGGCCTGGTCCGCAGGGCCCGCCGCAGGCTGCTCCCGGCCGCGCCCCGCCCTGTCCTCCACTCTGCAGTGCAGGTCCCTCCGGTCGCGCTCAGTGCAGCACCTCCTTCGCGGTCAGCAGGTCCCGCTCCCCCTGCCTGGCCCTCGGCCCTCGGCCCCCGGCCCTCGTCTGTTCAGTGCACACCTCGCCGGCCTCGGGCAAGCTCAGTGCGTCTAAGTGGAACCCGGCAGACCCAGTGCATCTCCGCAGGCGGCTGGTGCCCAGGCTGGGACTCCGCCCTCTCACCCTCTGTGCGGTGTGGGTCAGGCTGGATTCTGTCTCCGTCGTCCTTTATAAAAAAGTTTTATAGGGGATGATTGGCTCACAGCAATCACTGTGTTTAGGGAGTTTGGATTGCAGGAACCTGTGAGGCCATCATACCGTTGAGACACGCACACAGCTCTCAGCTCTGAAGGGGCCTGGAAGTTTGACCCGTGTTTGCCGTCAGCAGACCCGAGTGTTTCCCACGCGGCGGCCGGCCCAGCCCTCAGCCCCACCTGGTTTGGCTGTGCCTGGGGGCCGTGCTGGGCGGGAGGCGGGCATTGGAACCGCGGCCCTGTTTACGATGGCTGCTGAGTGCCCCCGGCCTGCAAGCGCCCCTCACTCAGCCTCTGGCCAGCCCGGCCGCTCTGTCTTGGCAGCCTCTGCTCTGGGCAGGCTCCAAGGGCGGCGTTGTCACCTGTCCCTTTAGCGGCTGAGGTGGCCAAGGGGATTCTGCTTCTGGGGGGCTGCTGCCCACCCCGCCCCGCCCCAGCCCAGGCCTGCTCCAGGGCCGTCTGATCCTACATCACGTGACAGCAGAGATGATCCCTCTGCCACCACCATGGCTGCCAGGAGGGCGGGCAGGTGGCTGAGCCATTGGTGGACAGGAGGCCTGGGCAGGGGCCTGGGCAGGGGCCTGGGCCTAGGCCTGGGCCTGAGCTGGGACTTGGGCAGGGGCCTGGGCAGGCAAGTCCAGAAAGGCAGGCAGTGCGGGGGTTGGCCAGATGGGCAGTGCCAGGGCCCTGAGAGGCCGTCTCGGGTCACCTGCCCACAGCTGCTCTGCAGACCGGGCATAAGACCAGGGCAGCCTGCCGGGCCAGCGTGGCTCAGGGTGAGCATTGACCTAGGAACCAAGAGGCCACAGTTTGATTCCTGTCAGTCAGGCACAGGCCTGGTTTGAGGGCTCAGTCCCCAGTGTAGGGTATGCAGGAGGCAGCCAATCAGTGATTCTCTCTCATTGTTAACATTTCTCTCTCTCCCTTCCTGTCTCTCTAAAATCAACCCTATGTAATAAAAGCCTAATATGCTAAGCGTCAGCTGATTAGCTGTAAAACCAGTCAAGTGTAATATGCTAATGGTATGCTAAGGCTGTTCGACCACTCGCTGTAGCGCGCACTGACCACCAGGGGCAGATGCTCCAATCGGTAGATTAGCTTGCTGCTGGAGTCCAGCTGATCGGGATTGAGCGAGATGGGCCGGACAGCCCCGGAGTCCGCCGGCGTCCTTTCTGATCGTGCGCTGGTGGGGTCCCTCGCCTGGTCTCTGGTCTGCTCTCTCTCTCAATCCAGGACCCCTGAGGGGTGTCAGAGAGCTGGTTTCAGCCCGATCCTTCAGGCCAGGCCGAGGGACCCCACTGGTGCACGAGTTTGTACAAATGTATTACAAAAAAAAAAAAAGACCAGAGCAGCCCTCCCAGGTGTGGGCGGGAAGAACTGGGAGCCTCCTGGGCCCCTGACTGACGGCAGCCGTTATGTTTTTTATTGATTTCAGAAAGGAGAGGGGAGGGAGAGACAGAAACATCAGCAATGAGGGCGGCATGGACCAGCTGCCTCCTGCACGCCCCCTACTGGGGATCAAGCTCACAACTCCTTGGCTCCTGATCGGGAATTGAATCGTTACCTCCTGGTTCATAGGTCGAGGCTCAACCCCGGAGCCCCAGGCCAGGGGTCAGGAGCAGCCACCCAGGAGGAGCCATGGTCCCTGAGGCTGGGCGCCGTGGCCCCTCCCAGACCCCAGTCCTCGGGCGGCCGCGTGGGGCAGGAGCGGGGATCAGAGCGGGAAGCAGGAGCTGCAGTCGGAGCCCTGACACAGTCGGGTGTGGGCCCAGCCTGAGACCCGCTGCCTCCCCCCCTCCCCTCTATTCTTAGCAGCTGAGCTCAGGGCTGAGCTGGCTGGCACGGCACCCTCTCTCCTCTGAGCCTTGTGCTGGGCGGGGCCGGGGCCACGCTGAGAGGGTTTGGCGGGGCGGGGGCAGAGGCGGGCCAGGCTCTCTGGCCCTGTGGTTGTACAGGACAGCCAGCCCACAGCTCAGAGGGCTGGGCCCTCACTCTGCCAGGCGGGTCTCCTTCCACACGGTGCCCTGGCTGGGTGGGGGCTGGGGTCCAGGGCTCACTCGCTGGCCTTGGCGCTGACCACGTGGGGGTCAGCGTGGTGCCCCTTCCCTCCCCGGCAGGGTCAGCTCAGCCTTCGAGGACGGGCAGGGGCGGCACCGGAGCACGGTTACTCCCGGGGCCTCCGGCGTCCTGCCGCAGTGCGGGTGTCCCCGCAGCCCGGAGCTGGGCCTAGAGGCCTGTTCGCGCCCTGGGTGGCACCATCAGCCATCGCTTCTAGTTTGGCAGCTAACCCCACCCCCTGACCCCCGCCCCCAGTCCGGGACCAGACACAGCGCTCCTTCTGCAGTCCAGGCCGCCACCCTCGGAGCTCGGGGACGGCGAAGGAGGGGGGTCGTGTCCTCGGGCTGGTTTCGGGGACTCGGGGGCCCCTCGCAGCCTCTTGTTCTCCCCAGGAAACCCCTGAACTTCCAGAACCTGCCAGAGCATCTGGACCAGCTGTTACAGGTGGACAGCGAGGATGAGGAGAGCGAGGGTACATGGCAGCGGCTGCGGTGGGCTGGGGGGTCAGGCCGGGACCCGGCGGGCCCTGGGGGAGCCCTGGCAAGCTCAGA